CAAAACTGAGAAGATAACACATTTATGTGGGAAAACTGGCAGAAGAATGGGAGTCAATTCTGTTGTGCCCATAACAATCAAAAGTAATTGCAACTAAAGCCAGAGGTGATGACAGAGGAGATGTTGCCACACACACTTGCCACAAAGAGCTATGGCAGGGCATCCTGGAGGTGCAGCCATGGGCAGAGGCCATCGCAGCTCCACAGGTTCACACATGCCCATCTTGTACAGCACCAGGCTAGGGATGGATTCCTTTAATAGCAGCTCATTGTGAGCAACATCTCTCTGTGCTCCCTTCACTCCGTCTTTATAAATTTCCTCTTACCCCAGCCTCCTTGGCCTTGGACCCACACAGTGCTCAGCTAATCCTAGAGAAATCATCACCATGACAGACAGAGGTTGTTTGGCATTGGAGGGCTAACTGCTGACCTCCCTTTCCTAGTGTACTCCTGGCCAGGGCTCATCAGTGACAGAAAACTGTGTGTCTGATAGCTGAATGTGACAGCACCCCATGCTCTCTCTAGGTATGGGGACAGCTTACCCTGGGGAGGTAGGGAGGGGACTCTGCTCCTTTGGCTGCTCCACTTTGATACCTCCCCCTCCCTGGCAGCACCCCCAGGGAGATGTAGCACAGTACACACTTCTATCAGGAGTCTATTCCTGTATCTTCACGGTCAGCTTCCTTCTCCATAGTCCTACCCTGCATCCCATCTGCTTATGGCACTAAGGTCACCGTCTATACATCGTCTGCCTGAATGCCCTGAAGCAGGAGCCAGTAGGAGACCAAAGAGACCCAGCTCCAGTGTTCCCTAGCCTCCCAGAGTCACGGGAAGATGAATGGGCCCACAGGGAGAGAAACCACATTCAACTCAGCGACTCCTTGGCCCATAACAAGCAAAGCCGGGCCTCCCCAAGGACCTGCCTTGTGGCTAGGGGGAGGGGCACGCTTCCTCACTGGCTTTGGCTAGGCGCCAGGGGAAGTCCTGGCTTGCTGACAACTGACTGATAAATTATTTTCTGCCGCAGTTGCTGGGCTAGTCTGTTTGCCAGACTCTCCAGAGGCCTAGGCAGAGGGGTGGCTGCCTCCAGCTCCTGCCTGGCTTTCAACATCCTTGACGCAAGCCCTGTGCTGATGCTGGGGCATCTAATAACTTATAGCTGACTGAGGGTGTGGCAGGATTCCTTGTGCCTTTTCAAAGGGCTGAGCTCTGCAGGCCTGGGAGAAGGCCAGAGTCTACCAGCATCCGTTACAACAGTGCTCAGAAGTCAGAGCACAAAGCAGCCCTGACTGGAGACCTTCAGTGCACCCCAAAAGGGAATGCTTGTGGCACTTTCTGGTTTACAAGTATTTTGCATTTAGTATGTAATCACCATGGTGAGCGGCAGTGATCACTCTGGATCGACCTATCTGGGTTGCCTCTCACCCAGAATCTGAGCAGTGGCTGGAGGGGACCTGAGGTGACAGGATGACGCCTTGTGTCTTAGCCTCGCAGGACCATTTTGGAGACCAGAGGTGGCACCACCACTCCCACAGGATGATCTGTCCCTGGCCTGCACCTCAGGTGCACATCCTCTCTCCATCACAGTCTCCATATCCAGACTGTTGACATTAATGATGCAGATCCAAGACAATGCTACAGGAGAAGCAGAAGCCCTCACCCAGCTCTGTAGGGTACCTCATCATTAGAAATGATGGTTGACATGCCAAATGGGATTTCACTTTAATTGGTAACTTTATTCATTTGGGAGATGAGGTCTTACTAGCCTGGAACTTGCTATATAGACCAGCCTGGCCTTGAACTCAGAAAGATCGGCCTGCCTCTGCCTCCCTAATGCTGAGATCAAAGGGGTGGGGTACCACACCCAGATCAACAGCTAAATTTAAGGAAAACAACTGTGAAATGCTCCCACAAAAGTGCTCTCCTATCTGGAAGGAATCTCGGGGTCCCCAAGCAAAGAGGAAGAACACTTTTCATATGTCTTTCCCAGCACTGCAGCAGCAGACAGTGGTTGCCTAGCTACCATGACAGCCAGATGACTGAATGAGATGTGGGCCACTGATAGCCTCTTTAGGATATAACATTGGCATGGTTCCTCTCCCAAGCCCCCAGCCAGGACAAGTGGCCACGGCTCTGTGAGCTTTGCTTGTGTTTCAATGGCTCCCATTTCTCCTGGAAACCAAACCCGCTGGCTCCTAGGTCCATGTTGTGTTTGGTCTCATGAAATGCTAATATTGGGGAAGGCAAGGAAAGGGCAAACAGGAGTTCTCTGTTCATTCCCTCTCACACTGAAAACCAAAAGGCATTAATCTAAGCCCACAGTCTCTGCCGACATCCTGAGGTGCCTCCATTTCTTGTCTGTGTCCTTGTCCTCCCTTCCAGGAGGGAACATAGTAGGGAAGGGAGATCTAACCTTCCCTTCAAGAGGGGAAAAAACACCTGGTGGAAGAGCCTGGATCAGGGCTTGGGACAAAGATCAAGGACCCCTCCCAGGGCAGCCTGCCATGCTTCATCCTGGATAGTGACTGTACAGCTGGCTAAGAGATAGTGGCCTGGTCCTTCTAGAAAACCCTTCTGTCACTGCCTTTGCATCTACCAAAGCTGAACTGCAACATCTGCAATGTGCTCCAACACCTTCCCAGCTCCAACCACAACCACAAGCCTTTAGGCCAGAGACAAAAGCACTCCCCACTCACCAAGGGCTGAGAGCAAGACCGATTTCTTAAAGTGCTCTCGGAAGGCTCTGCTTCAAATATTTATGGAGGCTGTGAAGTGGCCCCAGAGAGCCAGCGGCCCTGTCAACTTTACGCCTGCTGCAGTGATTTATCAGCTTGGGAACTGCTGCATACACACTGCCTGAGTGCTTGGTGGGAAGCCAGCATCCTCCAGGAGGTGCAGAGAGGCGAGAGGCTGCTGGCAAGGAAGGGAGAGTGGGATATTTTGCCTCTGCCCCCTTGACATGATGGGGAAAGCTCTGCTTTTCCACTGCTGAGCACTGTCGAGAATGCAGGCTGAGCCCAGAGATGGAGACAGCTGGAGAGGAGAAAACAAAAGTAGGTCTCTGTGTCCTTTGATTATGGTTCTGAGGTGCACACCTCTTATCAGAGGAAGATGCAACAATGACGACTTAATGCTTACCAAGCACTTTCTGTGCTGACATCAAAGTCTGACCACATGCTTACTTCCTCCTATGACAGTTCTAAGAGGCCAACTCACAGCCAAGGAAATAGAGATGGGGACCAGCTGGGTTGTCATACATTGCCATTAAGCAAGTACTGACATATAGGCATTGGGCTGGTGGCAGAATGGAAGCAAAGGCTTTTGTTCTCAATGACAGGAAAACACACCCTTCACACTGGAAAGCTCTGTGTCTCCTGCATGATAGTCTCATGCCAGTGTCCCCATGTTCCCCCCCAAAATGTGCACCACCTCCCCTCTTCTGGATCCTCTCTAGTTTTGAAGACCCCAGACATCTTATGTAAGTGTGTGTGGCTATGATGCTGCTGGTTCCACATCACTCAGGTCATGTGACTTCATCCTTAACCCAGTCTGTAAGCCTGCCATCAGCCTGGGCATAAGACAATCAGTATCAGCATCTCACTTCTGAAAACATGTTTTCTTCCAGCACTCACAGGAAGGTCCAACTACAATAGCACAGCAGCAAGAAGCCCATCTGCCTCTCCAGCCTTCCCCCAGATGTGGCCATGTGTCCACCTTCCAGCCTGAACAGCAGACTAGAGCCATCCCTCCATCCACCAGGGATGGGGATGGGGAGCAGCCAACGGGGCTGCTGTTGGCCCAGTCTGGCGCTTATGAATGTCTTTCCTGCACTGGAAACAAATACTTTATACATATGGGGTCATCAAATTGCCCCACAACCCTGATATGCAAAAGTACCACCTTCATGCTTAAAATAAAAACTATAAAGATGGAGGTAGATGAGATCTCACAAGAATCAAGATGGAAAAGAGCAAACCTTACACTGAGACGCTGTGAGGGAGGGCGGTTCTCTCTGTTCTTTCATCGTTTTGTGGGACCTGTGGGTTCCCTGCAAATACAGGGTGCCGCGAGGCTGGTTTTCCTTCTCATGACCACATCGGGCAGTACCACTTCCATTTTACACAGAAGGAAATGAATATACAAACACATGAAGAGCTTTGCTCAGCATCACACTGACTCAACAGGGTCAGGGGTGGGGTTTGAACTCAGGTCAGCCAGGCCCCAGATTTAATCAGTTATGTAATTTGTCTGCAGAAGCTGCAGAGTGTCTAGTGAGCACTTGTTCAGGTACTTCATAGTAGAAACAACTAGAAAATCCAGACAAACTGTGGGTAAAATATATTGGTTAGCTAGGATCTGCAAAGGATCAAGGCTGTGAAGCTTTGTGGGAATGACACTGACAGCAGGGGGAAGGTTCTCTGTGCAGTCCAGTGGTGTGTCAGTGCCTTCCCCTCAGTGGCAGTTGGTAGGAGACCCAGGCAACTGTGAGGGTGGGATGCTGGACAGGGATCTCATCACCTGTGGGACACCAGGAACCATGGGAGAGGACTGTGAGGAGCCTGTAGGTTTTGTGCCCAGAGGTGAGTGTGAGCATCAGATGTCAGGCAGAGCTGCTGTGGCTTCATTGTCTTTGAATCAGCCCTGGGTGAGAAAGGTACTGGCCAGCCCATCATAGCAAGGGAAGTTCTCTCTGGGGCAGGGATCCCCAGCAGAACCTAAGATCAGGGCCCGGGTCTCCACACAGGCGGCCAGCACTCAAGACAAGTAACAAGACACAGCACACGGCTTCACCAGAAACAGAGGCTGAAAAGCAGATAATAGATACTGAGTTACATTTGAGTTCTTAAACTGGTGGGCTTTACTGGGGTTATTATGTGTCCGTGTGTGTGTGCAAGCCTCTCTCCCCCTCTCTCTCTTCCTGTGTGTATGTGTGTGTACATGAGAGTGTATTTACTTTCAATCAAAACCATAATTCAGAAGTGAGGAAAGGTGTGTGCTTACCTTTGGGGAACCAGGTGGAGCCGTCTGCGATGTCCACTCAGTCCCTGGAGGGGACCAGGACTCCACACCCCACAGTCTTTGAAGGACACTATCTGTTTCAGAATTAAGTAGATAGTCCTGAGCTGGAAGAGAGAATCCTCAATCATACCTCAGGCCAGGCATACATCTTTAAAATCAACAGGTCCTAAACTTTATCGTAATGTTCCCACTTTCTTTTTTTTTAATTTTTTATTTAACTTTTATTAGTTACACTTTATTCATTTTGTATCCCCCCATAATCCCGTCCCTCCTCCCCTCCCAGTCCCCCCCTCCCCCCCCTTTCTGCATGCATGCCAAGTCCACTGATAGGGGAGGTTCTCCTCTCCTTCTTTCTGATCTTAGTCTATCAGTTCTCATCAGAAGTGGCTGCATTGTCAGGGTTCTAGGTTATCTCCATGAATAGTCCTTGGTTGGAGTATGAGTCTCTGGGAAGTTCCCTGTGTTCAAATTTTCTTGTTCTGTTGCTCTCCCACTTTCTTGCTATCCACAAATTTTCCCATATGGCTATCTCTGTGACAGAGGCTTTCTTGGTGGGTGCCTTTGAGTTCTCTGAGTTACCACACTTAGTAATAGCGTTATCATGGTCTTGGGGTTACCCCAGGCCACTACCTGTCTGCCTGTTTCCCTGCTAGCTGCCAGGCCTCCAGGATGGGGCTGCCTCCTGGATTCCCTCTGCTGGCTTCCACATCTTGTATGTACCCCCTCCAGGGGGTGCCAGGTAGCCTCCAAAAACCCAATACAAACAGCCCCATGAATGATAAAGCATTTCCTGCATTTGACAAGTGAGAGAGGCTGAGCTTGGAGAAGGCATACTGCTAGAAAACCAGTGGTAGAGTGGAGCCAGCTAGAATTCACAGCTCTCCGCTGTAGAAACGGGTGCCAGCTCAGGCTAGAGGGGCATCAGTGAAGGTACAGGCAGCAGCCCCATCCGCACAAGAAGAGCCTTTCTTCTCATGTACTGATGCCCGGCTACGTGCCAGGCCCTGCACAAGACCATCATAGTATCTTCATTTTGAAAACAGTCTGCAGGACAGAGAGAGAGAGAGAGACTGAGGAACTCATCCATGATCACAGTGCTGGCGAGAACAGAATCTAGTAGACAAGCCACAGGGAAAAAAACAGACCTGGAGGGTGCCCAGTACGTCTGTGAATGCAACCTCCACATGCCCTCAGAGTCAGCCCCATGCTGCTAGTGAGTGGCACTTAAGGACTTCCGGCCTGAGGAGAGGAGAGTCTGTCTGGTCCCCCAGCACCTTAGTTTCACTATTACAATAAAGATAACAGAACAACAAACCCACTCATGTTCCTCTTCCTGAGTAACCACAGTTAATATTTTCTTCATCTCTTAGCCTGCCTTGCTGGCCACATGTGGATGTGTGTGCGTGATAGCGCTGACAGCTCTACCACCTTTAAATTTAATGAAATACGATCACATTGCCCTACAGCATGGCATCCTCAGCCACTTTGGTGGCCATGTTACATTCTGCAGAGGACATGAGTCAACTCACAACAATGAAGGCATGGGCTGAACACAACTGTCCCATGAGCTTATTCCTAATAGATGGAAATTACTTATATGAGTGTCCTGGGTTGGCAAATGGATGTAGTGGTTCATAATGAAAAAAAAAATGGAGCTGAGGAATTTGAGGCTCTTCTTGTTTTGTTGTGGTGTGTTCTGACATGTGAGGTGGTAAGACAGGTCTCCCTCAGAAGGAGAGGGAGAAATAGGCAGTCCCCTGAATGGTACAAACTTGCCATCAGGCAGTTTGCACCCACCCCACCGGACCCTGGCTTTTGCTGAACACACAGAAATGTTTCTGGCAGGTGCACTAACCTCCTCCTCTGGCTGCTGTCCTGTTGGAGCTCACATCCAGGTGGTGGCCTGTCTGGAAGGAAGGAGATCTCAGTAGAACAAGGTGAAAAGGTCCCCCGGTAGCCACCCTGTGCAGCTGAGCTCACCCTCGCCGGAAGTTGGCTGTGATGATGTGTCTTCTTCATCCCCTCCTCAGCCACCATGTAGGTGACCCAGATCAGATCTGCTCAAGTGTACCACATGCCAGGGACAATTAAATTTCCTTCACTCAACCTCCATGCACAGATAGCGACAAGCGTCCCTTTGAAATGCATTAAGGGAAAATTTAAGGGAAGTTGGGGCATCTGGTACTGCCAGGGGCCACTGATTCATCGTTCAGTGTTGCTGGATGGCGCTCTAGCCCCTACATGGTCTGAATGAGAATTGTCTCCCATGGGCTTGTGTGTTTGAGCACTTGATCCCTAGTTGATGGGGCTCCTTGCTGGAGGATGTATGTCACTTGGGACAGGCTTTGAGGTTTTACAGCCTCACCCCATTTCCTGCTCCTTCTTTCTTCTTCCTGTTTATGGATGAAAATGTGATAAGCCAGCTTCCCTCTGCTGCCTCCATGATGCTGTCATGCCTTCCGCTTCATGATAGACTCTATCACTGTGGAACTGTGAGCCAAGATAGACCCTTTCCTTTGGGATAGTCTATCATAGCAACATAAGGTAACTACTGCAGATTCTCAAAGAGCATCCTGGGGAACAGGAAACCATACTGACTCAAGGGACAGGTGGCTTAGAGGTCCAACAGCATGTCCTTTGGAATCAGAGGACCTTCCTGTGCAGGTGACCATGTCTAAACAGAAGATAGAATGCAGCACATCCCAGGAACAGCAGTACATTCACTCAGAAACCCTGGGCTGGGACCACCCTTCCCTCTACTGAGCCGACTCTAGGCTAGAGTCTGGGTGAGGCTACCAGGAGTATGTGACACTTGAAGCAGGCTACATCTGGGATGAGCTCCAGCTTCTTTGGTATCCAGGCTTCCAAAATGGAGACAACATAGGCTCATGAAATTTTTTTTTAAAAAAGAGAGAGAGAGCCTTAGTTTTACTTGTTAAAGTCAACAACTTAAGTCCAAGCAAAATCCAGGAGATATAAGCCAGGCTAGAGGAGGACGGCAAAAGACACAGAGGGGCTGTCAATCTCCCTGAGGCAGGCCCAATCAAGATGAGTTAGAATTTCAGTGAGAAGTCTGCCTTGCCCTTTTTTCTTCCTCCACCTAAAACCTGGGAAATGTCAAGACCTTGAAATTCCCAGTCATAGCCACAGTGAAAGCTGGTTGAGCTGATACCCACCATCACCACACCAAGACACCTGATGCTATGTACAGCCTAATGCAAGCCCATCAGCAATGCATAGCCTAATGCAAGCCCATCAGCAATATACAGCCTAATGCAAGTCCATCAGCCAGCAGGCAGCCCTCTAAATTGTCAGCCAAAGCCCAAAGGCCTCCATCAGGACTCCCATCTGTGTTCCCGGAAGCAACAGCTACTGTCCATAAAGCCAAATGCTCTGGACCAGCTTCCAGTCCAGCTACCAGCGGGAAGGGCTGCTACCACTACCACTGAAGAACTTAGTTTTCCTCTCCAGACACTACTTGGCCACCAGGGTCCTCAGAGCTGGCTCAGAACACAATGCTAGAGGAACAGAGGGCTACACAATAGCCAGACTCTCAGACCCCAGCCTAATGACACGCTTAGGGACTCGTCTCTTTAGAGACTCAGCTCTCTGGTCCTGCACCAGCACTTCACCTTCCCAGCCCTGGAAGCTAACGGAGCCTGTGCAAACACCCTGAGCTGCAGTCCAGCCACACCTCCTCTGTGGGAGTGCTCTCAGGATGGGCCAGGAGCCAGGAAAAGCACCAGGGGAGTATTCTTAGCCTTCTCTACATATCACAGTAGTTTTCATTCCTTATGCTAGGACAGACACACGCACATTGAAGACTGCTTTTCCGGTGACAAGAGGGACTGCCTTGGTGGGTGCCAGACCCCAGCTACGACCACCAACTACTCGCCACCTACCCATTCCTGCAGTGGCCATTACTGTGGCCATGTGCAGACCCTGTCACATAGGCAAGTCAGTCAGCATGGAAGGGGCTGAATTAGAAAGCTCCGTGAGGACGCAGGTCTTTGGACAGGTGAAGACCTTCTTGGAGTCTCCTTTTGTCATCTGAGTAGAGGAGAATTGTGCCATTCTTGTGGGATAATAGACACTCTGCAAGCACTTGGAACGTCACCTACACACAGTCAGCAGACAGAACATGTGTCCTCTCATAGGTCAAAGGGCTGGAAGAGGTGGCAGAGTTGGGATGTGACCCTGGACCCGTTTTCAGCCTCTTGCCTACAGGGGACAGGTTAACTCATCCTAGCTTTTCAGAAGCTCTGCTGAGCAGACTGTGCAGTTCCCATTGTCAGAGAACAGAGATCAGGGGACTCAGGGCCATACTGTACCTCCAGCCTGGTCTGATCCCTGTGAGGGCTAACTGTTCTCCTGCCCCTTTGGTTGGCTCGCTGTGTGTTTTGGCCTACTTGGTTCTCCCACAGATCCATGACTCAAAGTGGTAGAAACTCTATCAACCGTCATGGAAAGGAAATGCCACAGCAGGCTGAGGCAGTTTCCAGAGCACACAGCAGAGGGGTGAACACTCTCAGGTTAGAGTCAGAGTCACCTGTGCTGGTTGTTTTGTTTTATTTTGTTTGTTTGTTTGTTTTATCAACTTCACACAAACCTACAAAGAAGGGATCTCAACTTTGGAGTTTTCTCCATCAGACTGGCCTGTGGCCATGTCTGTGAAGAACTGTCTTGATTGTGGATGTGACAGGGCCCAGCCCACTGTGGGCAGTGTCACCCCTGGCCAGGTCCTGAGCTGTGTAAGAAAGCAAGCTGAGCATGAGACAGAGAGAACCAGTAATCAGCACCCTGTTCCATAATCTCTGTTTCCCAGCTGCAGCCCCAAGTTCCTGTCTTGGTTTCCTTGATGATGGTCTGTGATCTGGGAGCCAAATAAACCCTTTTGTTACCCAAATGGCTTGATGTCATAACATTTTTAACAGCAACAGACACAAAACTAAGACATCTTCAAAGCTGGCGATAGTCCCGAGCTGATGAAGGAGCAGAATCAGGGCTGGGACACGGAACAGAGAGTGCAGAGGGAAAGAGGTTGACAATTGGGGGCAGTTATGTCTGCTGTATGGCCTCCTCAGGCCAAGAGGAAGCATCCCAGGCCCAGAGAATCTTCTCACAGATGGAGGCCTCAGCCTGGAGCAATTTAACACCCACCCCCATCCCACACACTCCAGTTCTCTTCTAGCTCCCACATGACCTTCTGACAACAGATGGTAACTGACCAACACAGTGAATTTGCCCCTCTAAGCACTGCAAGGGAAAATGTGCTGACTTTTTTGGTGTGCTCATCTACCTAGAGTATGCCAAGCCACACGATAGTTCTGTTTCCCAGAGGTAATTGATTAGGCTCTAATGTACACATCAGCCCCTTTGAGTTCAGTTATTGGAAACCAGCCTATCCCACCCCAGTGTTCATGTTGAAATCAATACCTCCTGCCTCAGTCCTGCTTCATCACAATTATTAAGAACCAACTGTGTCCCAGAGATTGTCATAATCACTTCAACTTTCCCTCTCTCCCTCCCTCTCTCTCTTCTTCCTTTCCTGCTTCTTCTTTGTCTCTTCTACAACCCACAGAAAAAAAGCAGCGCTAGCCATGGCATCCTGTGCTGTGGATTTGAGCTCTAGCCCTACACCAAGTTGCTGCACCTTTAGCAGCCCTGTGGCCTCCAGTTTCCACCTCCTCAGCTGCATGGCGATTTGGATCATAGACACTTGAAGATTGCAAGGAGCTGAAAAGGTCAACCCCTGTACATCCAGGAACAACCCCAAGGCCATATCCCTGGAAAAGAGCTCTGGCTAAATTTACCTCTCGAGCCCCACACCGTCAGTAGCCGGCCTAGTCTCAGAGGCAGATCTGACTCAAACAGAGGAATAGGTGTGTGGGCAGACATGGCTGACACTGTTAGGTTCCACAAGCTACTGTTCCGAGCCAAGCAGGGCTTTGGGAGCCCTCTATCAGGATCAGAAGAATGAGCACTCAGCACCACTCTCCATCACCAGGACTTCTGAACTTTTCACCCTCAATTTCTTTTTCCATTGACTTTTAGTAGAGAAGATTCTCCCCCGTTGGGCTCATTATCTTTGTGTGGGTGTGGTGCTGTGTATAGCACCCAGGGTTTCATCCATGCTAGGCAAGCACTCTGACCACCTCACTGTACATCCAGTTGATTCATGATCTTGTGTTTCAAGAAGTGTTTCGCTGGGCAGATTCTGTGTCAGACAATGGGGAGGCAGACATCTAGGGAAAGGCTCTAGCCTCACAAAGGAGTATCAACAAATGCCCTCAACAACGTAGCAAGAATCCCCTGTGTGTGTGCTGTCATGCATGCCCAGGTGCAGTGGAGGGCAGAAGGGTATGAGGGGAATTGTAGCCATTGGGATTTAGACCAGTTACTAAGGACAGACACTCAGAACCTTGAGGGCTGGACAGGAGGCTGCCAGTGGACCAAGCATCCTGGCAGAAGGGGCTATGCGTTCCGAAGTATGGATGATGAGGATATCTGGTGACACAGCATGATGAGGCTTATGTGGCACATTTGTGTCTATCCCCCCCCCCCAGGGTCATAAGCACTTCAGAGGGAAAGGACCCCCAGCATTCTTCATAGCACCCTGAATGCAGGTACCGCCTAGAGAAGGAACAGGAAGGTGTGAGGGCTGGGTTACTAAACAAAACAGTACGGGGGGAGGGGCAGGGGGCCTTGCTGGGTCCACCCATGGTCCCTACATGTAAGGACAGGGTTGTCTATGCTTACCTCTGGGGCTCCTGGGGTCAGGAAGGTGGCGGTATACTCAGCCAGTGCCACATCGTCAAGCATGTTCTGAGCCAGCTCAAAGAGCAGGTGCTTCTTGGGCTCGTGTCTCGGCAGCTCCTGCAGCAGGTGCTCAATCAGGCGGTTCCTCTCCTGGCACTTGTGGACCAGAGAAGCCAGCTTGGCCTGGAAAGTGAGGAGGGGGGGTAAGCCCCATGGTATAGGCTGAGCTGGGGGCCAACGCATTTCCGTCACCCTGACACCAGGACCTCAGGGCTCCATGCTACCTTCCTTATAGACCCCAGGCTCATAGGAGTAGGGAGGGCAGAATGTAACTCAGGCTCTACCGTGGCCCTGCGCTATGACTGAGCTCCTCTCCACACCTCAACTCACCAATCCGTACAACACTGTGAGGGGAGCCAGAAACCACCCGGGAGAGCCCCGCCTTTTCATTTGGCTTCACTCTACTAATGTACAGAGTACTGGGGTCCTCCTTCGGATGAGGGGGGTTTGTCAAAACATGAACTTAAGAGGGAGAACCCCCTCATGGTCCCTCTCATGGTTTCTTGCACTGTCCTGTCTATGGTATCCCAGACGGCACCCTAGAGTCTCAGTGGGAATACTCAGCTTCCATCATATCAACACCAGTGGTTCTCAACCTGTGAGTCATGACCCTTCTTGGGGGGGAGGGTCAGACAACCCTTCCACTGGGGTCACCTAAGACTATTAGAAAACACGGGGTTTGTGTTACAATTCAAAACAGTAGCAAAATTATGATTATGAAGTATCAACTGAATAATGTTACGGTTGGGGTCAGCACAACATGAGGGACTGTGTTAAAGGGCCGCAGCCTTAGGAAGGTTGAGAACCACAGGCCAACACAAAGGTGAGGCTCAGACAGATGGGAGAAGAAATGGTTCGTATTCCTGACATAACAGCTAAGGAAATTGAGCCCAGAGGAGAAGGCAGAAAGCAGGTGTGTCCCATATATATATAAATATGGATAGGTAGGGCACCTTCCTGAGGAAACGTGCTAGAGTAAATGCAGTCACGGGGAGGTGGGAGACACAGAAAGAATTGGAATAAAAAGGGCAAGTGAAGAGGAAGAGAAGAAAAGGGCAGAGGAAAAGATGAGAGACAGGGAGGAAGGGAATGTGAGCACCAAGCGGCAGCCTCCAAGCCTGCCTCCCTTCCCAGGCTGCACGGAGGAGAAAGTCGGACACAGCCTGTGGGGTCAGGACACGTGCCACACAGGCTAGTAGTCTCACACATGTGAGAAGCCAGATGAAGAAGGTATGTGGAACACAGTTCCTGCAGGTATTACGTGACGTCTGTCCCCGGCCCTCTTGGGTATGTTCATGAAATGCTAAGCACTGAATATGAAACAGCGACATGGCAGCGTGTTACCTTCAGAGGACCCATGGCCAGGCGTGATTCTTGCTGCTGTTCCCAAAGCTCCTCGAGCTGAAAGGAGAAGCAAGCATGTGACTGAGCCTTGTGGGATAAGGGAGGGGAGGGTGGCGAGCGCTGGCCTGCTGTAACCTTTCCCTGTGTGGGGATGGGGTGCTGGGCAACAGTTGTCCCTGATCTCCAACATGGAGCCACAAAGACACAACCTAGTGTGAAAGTTGGGTCCCTGAGCCAGACATAATCTTGGCTTGGCTGCCTCCCTGTAACCTGTAAATCATTTATTCTCCCTGCTAAGTGTCTTCTGTGCAGTGGGGTTCCATGACTGTCCACTCCACATTGAGGGTCATAACAAGGCCTCACTGATAATAAACCACCTAGACCCAGGCATGGTCCTGGGTCAATAAACATTAGCTACTGTTACCACTCGGGGCAGACTAGCAACATGGATTCTGTTCCTGGTGGGAGGCTGGTGACGTGCCAGCCGTCAGCTCTGGCACCCAACACACAGAATGCGGCAGAAGTGCCCCCTGAGCTGGCCTCGGCTCCTGATAAGACAGACCAAGTGTAGGGCCTGACACAGTGAAGAGAGGGGCTGGGGAACAGGCACCAGGCACTTGTGTGGGGCCACCTCAGACTTTCCACATCAGCCCAGCATCCACCAAGTGACCCCACTACTGTTCAGCCGGATCCAGATCGTCTGAATTCTTGTCTCATAAAATATACAAAGCGGGAATTTCATAGCTATCCCCTCACACTCTCTTGTCTGTTGCAACCTAAAGAAGCCCTTCATCCTTGCCCCTGACTGGTTCTTACCTATCATTTTTTTTCTCCTCAATATTACACACTCACATGAATCAGGGTGTGTGTGCACAGACACGTGAAAATCTGCTACATGGAGAGTGTCACATCCTGTTTGGTAATTGAATAGAAAACCCTTGAGATGTTTTCAAGCAAAACAACTGGCCCCATCTCTTTAAAGTTATGTATGTTCTCTCCCCATGCAGCTGTGGCATGATGTATTTGAGCCATTCTCTGTTGATGGGAATACGTAAGACTGGTCTGTTTCTTTGCGTCACAAACAGTATTTCTGTTCATCTCTTTGGTGTAACTTCCCAGGACTGATCAAAAGGTGGATTCCAACTTCAAGTGAACTAACTTGTATTCAGATGGGACTCAATGTATGCAGGCTTTGAGGCGACCTCTCTAGGCTTCAGTTTGGAAAATAGCTTCAGTGTGTCCCCGTGAAATGAGTACAGGACATTGAAATTAAAAAGTGATTGCCTACCCCTATATGGGACATGTGTATCACACACCCCCTCTTCCCAGACTTGGGATTGTTGTGGAAGAGGGAACAGAAGGAGCTTAAGAGCCAGAGGTGGTAGGACTACAAACGAATAGTGTTTCAGGGACACATCAGGCCAGCTGTACATAGGAACTCAGTGCTTCTGACAGCACGCACCAGACCTGCGTTAGCTCAAGTCACACTGAATTCCCAAATGGAGACGGGAGGTGGGCATGGGGTCCCACCCCTAGGCAAGGAGCTATTGGCACTTGATAGCTGCTGGGAGAGGGAGTGTCAGTTTTCTTTAAGAGTGTAGACCCTGGTAAGTGCATCACACTGTGGTGGGAGGCCACACATCTGAGAGGAAATGGGCGGCACAAACTGTGCTTGATGGATTTAATTTAAAACACAAAGAGAGAGAGAGAGAGAGAGAGTTGTGTGAGTAGAGAAGGGAGGGGTAAGTCTGTAAGGAGTTGGCAGAGGGGTGAAGTTGATCAAAACACACTGTATGAGACTGTCAGATTGTCAAAGAAGTAATAATTGTTTAAGTGGATGAGAAGAGAGTAAAAAAAAAAAGCTGGAAATCAGGAGAAAGCATTTTCAAGCCATGTAGCTTAAAAAATCCTTATTTATAACATTCTGAGGGCTCTTTGGGTTTTCTGTATAAAAGATTATTAACAAGTATCGTGTATCGACTAAAATTAATACAGTAACACTTTCTTCATAAAGGGCTGACACACAAGGAGGAACAAGGTGGAGATTCCCTGTGTCTTTCATCAGGTTTCTTCCTGATTGAAGAGATTGTAGGGCTTGAAGGGATTGAAGTCAGCGTAGCCCACTGCTCTGGCAGGGATTTCCACCATCTCCTGTGAGTGTGCCTATCAAGGTCTGTGGGAGTTTGGCCATGTGTTGGTCCAAATGTCCTCCAAGGTCCTGAGCCAGGCCACTTTGAATCTCTCACTGGCCTTTTATAATCATGTCCACACATTTCCTGCAGAGGAAGGATTGGATTTCCTCTTGAAAATATTTGAAGGTGCCTGTGTTGGCTACTCTTGTGTCAGCTTGACACAAGCTAGAGTTATCTGAAAGGAGAAAATTTCAATTGAGACAATGCCTCCATAAGATCTTGATTAGTGATTGATGGGGGATGGCCTAGCCCATGGTGGATGGCGTTAACCCTGGGCTGGTGGTCCTGGATTCTATAAGAAAGCAGGGGGACTATGTTCCAGGGAACAAGGCAGTAAACAACACTCCTCCATGGATTTTGTAGCTCCTGCCTCCAGGTCCCTGCCCTGTTTGAGTTCTTATCCTGATTTCCTTCAATGATGAACGGTGTGATACGGAAGTATAAGCCAAATAAGCCAAATAAACCCTTTCCTCTCCAACTTGCTTTTCGGTCACAACATTTCATCACAGCAATAGAAATCCTAACTCTTGCCTTTCTTCTTCATATCACTCTATTCTTTAAATCTCTAGCCAACACTTTCAAACTGTTGGCACTCACTCCTTGAGGTCTGGAAACATTTGGAGGTCAAGAATGTGTTGGTTCAGCCTACCTTGCCTTTGAGCTTATCCTGGAGGCCCACTGCCTCATCTCGAGCCGCCTGCAGCTCCCTCACTGTCCAGCCCTGGTCCCTGAGCTGGCACTGTAGGGTCCGCACCTGGTGATGGAGCCGCTGTATGCACAGTTCTGGGTCTTCCTCAGAGGCAGCAGCCTTGGAGTTCTGGAACTGAGAAAAGGAACCACGGGTGAAGTTCTCGGATGATAATGCACCATAACAAACAACCAGTAGCTTTTCTATTGTCTGTCTGTCTGTCTATCCTGTTTTTTTTCTCATAGTAGAAAAAAGAAAGAAAGAGGGATGAGAGACGGATGGAGGGAGGGAGTAAGGAAAGGAGAGAAAGAAAGAGAGAGAATACAGGAACCAAGAACCATTTCAAATTCTATGGCCCAGCCTATTATTGCTACTTTCCATTTCCCAAATGGCCTGCCCTTGGTGCCTCTTTGTGCACACATGAGCATGTGGGTCATGATAACTATCTTAAGAGGGGAAGGGAAGGTAAATGGAACTGCAGAACAACATCCCATAATATTATTCTCAAAAATATGCAAAACAGGATCTATCAACCAGGATCCTGTTTGATCGCTGTCAATGACTATTGCATTGAAACATTGAGAAATGAGTGAAATTTCACACACAAATCAAATCATCAGATGCTCCTGCCATTAAAGCTTTATGACTTTACATAAGGCAGACAATAACAAATTTCCCATGAGCACTGGCTTAAACCGATACCACATCACCTCTTATTCTCTGGTGGAATACCAGGGTAGCGGGTCTCACATGGATACAAGGAGTCAGGCAAAAAGAAGCCTGACCAGCTCTGAGGGAACTGGGGTCAATGGAAGGAATTGTACCTCCCCCAAATGGTCCTGTGTGCTAAATCTTCATTGTTTTACTAACATACATGGACACACATATTCACACATGCATGTGTCTTTTCTTTATACATTTTTAAAGATTAAAAATGTTAATTTATGTGTACGTCTGTGTGGGTGCATGAGAACAGTGCTCAAGGGGGACAGAAGATGGCATTAGATTCCTCGGAGCTGGAGTGATAAGTGGTGTGAGCTGCCTAACATAGAAAATGGAACCTGGGTCTGGAAGAGTAGAAAGTGCTCTTAACCCCTGAACCAGCTCCTTAATCAAAGCTACATATCTTTTTCTTTCCCCTGTCATGTTGCCATGTGCATTTTCCCACTTTTAGTATTGGGGTGACATCTGCAGTTGTGCTGAATTCGGCTATGCTAAGGCTGTCGAGGGATAGACCTTGTCCATGACAGGAACACACCTGTGGGATCTTGAGATCACAGCGGAAGGCTTTCTAAACCCACGGGCAAGGTGTGTTCAATCCTGATCATAGCACTAAGGTAGGTATGGGAATGAGTGGTACGGCTAGCCAGAAATGACTCCTCCACGAAGGACTGGGGAGCTAAGAAACACCCCCGTCCCTTGCTTTACTTCAAACAACCCATTCCCTTCCTATCTTCCACCATTCCACACTTCAGTGGGAGAAGGGGGAGGAGGTCTCAGGATATTTTGAGTGAGGGAGAGAAGAGTGGAGCAGGAGAGGGCAGGATCCATGTGACTGTGACTGATGGGACAGCTCCCTATGACCAGGAACCACAATAGCAGAATGTGATATTTCTCTTAATTAATAGAAATGCACACTGCGTAGGCCTGAGACTCACAGGCTGGGGCCTGTCAGGCACAGATGGGTACTCCTGATGGTTCCATACGATTTAGCTCCAGACTCCAAAACAACATGGCCTTTTGAGAAGTTTGGTGGTTCACTGCTACCTCCTTCCTGCTTCTTGTGGCTTGGACAAAGGCTCTGCCCCATGGGCCCTAAGACAGTGCCCACAGCATGAAGCATGCCTGTTGCTCTGAGTCCACTAGCCTACACAGATGACTGCCTGATGTGATTGGGCTTAGGTACAGCGAGGACTCTGTCCCACAGGAGCTCTGGTTGACAGGGAGAATGACAGACACAGGTCATTCAACCTAACTGACAAAAAGGAGGCCTATCAGCTTTGGGAGCCCTTAGAAGGCTCTGGGCAGAGGCTCTGGCCCCATCCATGCTGTGGCAGCAGACACCATGGTCCATGCTGAGGTAATACTAATCAATGGCATGCACCAGTGACTGTAGAGCTATGAAGAGCTGTGGTTGCTTCGGCTCCTCCACCCTTCGGCCTTAGCCCGGTCTGCAGGGCTGCCCTGACTCAAAGGTCACAGCAGTTCCCAGGTGAAAGCTGGGATGCACAGAAAGGCCAGTGAAGGATGCAGAGACTCGGTCTTAGGTTGTAGTTCAGGGTGCAGCAGGTGGAGGGTAGACAGACACGGCTCCTGCCCCAGAGACTCTCAGCTGTGTCCTTACTATAAGAGTTGTGGGTTCGTGTCCAGTATAACAGGAAGCTATGAGAGGGCCATAGGTCTAACCCTGTGACAGAAAGAGGGACCTTTCTTCACCCACTGTCCTTGATGGTCCCTAAAACCTGTGGACTTCATTTCTGTTAATTCCACATTTCCCAACAGTATGTTACCACTTAGCTGTGGTCCCAAATACCTTCTATAGGCTCGCTCTCTCTCTCTCTCTCTCTCTCTCTCTCTCTCTCTTTTCCCCTTCTCACATGCACACCACCTCAGAGCAGGGCCAACTAGCCAGCTCTAACCTTTTCTCAACATCTTTTCTACCTTCTGTCTCATACCACCGCCCTAGCTGCTCTGATGGCCACACCAGCTCAGTTTTATTTTTCAGCAAGCCTGGCTCTTCACTTCACCGGAGCCCAGGCAGCCATCTTGTAATGGCGTGAAACCCTCTACCATATATTCACCTCCTTGGATTTCCAGTTCTTACCAGGTCAGGTCAGAATATCTGCTATTGGAAAGCTAGAAAAATCCAGGGAGAAAATGCAATGTTGTTTTGCCAACACTAAAATGTGAGCAAGGGTGGATGGGGGAACACAAGGCAAGGGCAGGAATCCCTAGGCTTCTCTCTGACACACTTTGTGGCCCATAGGTAAGGAAATTGGTTCCAGTGTTGAGAGCAGGGCCGGGATGAGAGGAAGAGATATGGAGTTGAGGGATGCAAGAACAGCCACAAGTGGGAGACAAACAGAAAAGAGAGAACTGCAGAAAAGAAACAGAAATGCTGCTCTACACATGCACTCCTGCATCCAGGACCACCAGGACCTCAGGGTCAAACAGCGCTGAGAAGGTGGTACCGTTTGGGCTGAGGCAAGGTGATGCCATCCTGCTGAACACTCTAGGAACTTACCCAACATCACAGAGGATGGATGTCCTAGGAGCAAGTGCCACACTATGAGAGTCACAACACACCCTAGGACCAAAAGAGACTTGCATGGGAATACCATGATGACCAGCAATTACTCCATGAAGGGCCAGCATGAGATGCACACAGCAAACATAGAGGAAGAGGTGACCAGGGACCACACATCATATGCAAATCCAACAGCCCAAAGCTCTTTGAATGACTGACTATATGAAGAAAGAGGGAAATGTGACAATCTGCCAAGAAATCAGACAAATAAAAGCAGGCAAAGCGATGATACAGACACGGGAGTGCAGATGAGACCTATCAAATGTCAATGGCTTACCTATTTCCACATTTGAAAGATACACTGGAGGACAAGATGGACTATTTCAGCATAGAGTCAGCATCTCTCCTTTGTAAATATTAAGATGGATCCTAGATCCACAAAGTACAATGAGTGGAATCAGGAGTTCACTGGGTGAATTTAGCAAGGGGTGGGTCACAACAGGACACAGAGTTAGCAGATTTAAAGAAAAGTCAATGTCAATAAGAAACCCCAAATGGAAGCACAGACCTGCAAACCTAAAATAAACATTTTTTCCCCAAAAGATACAAGATTAAGTCTGTAATTCCAGAAGGTGAAAAAAAAATAAGACAATTAAATCTTGACAAAAGAACAACCACTGGCCTGGGGAGATGGTTCAGCAGTTAAGGTGCTTGTTGTAGAGCTGAGGACTCGAGTTCTATCCCCAGCACCCGTGGTAAAAGCCAAGTGTGGTGGTTGTAATCCCAACAGGTGAGAGGCTCAGACAGGCAGATCCCTATGGCTTGCTGACGAGTCACTCTAACCTAATTAGCAAGTCCCAGGTCTCAGAGAAACCCTGTCTAGAGAAATAAATAAATACAGGAGACAGCTCCAGGAGGATGACACCGGAGGTTGGCTTCCTGCTTCCACACATCTGCATTCACACACACACACACACACACACACACACACACACACACCTCACACATGCATAAACACACATATATTGTATATATGCACACATATGCACCTCTGAGCATGCAAAAAAATGTTAAGGGAATAATAAGCAAAGATTTTTCAAATCTGTGGGAACACATAGATATACAAGTTCAAAGAGCTTGGGGAAAGGTGTACAAACAGAACCAGAGCTAGATCCATCAAGCCACCAAAATCAAAGATAAAAAGGAAATCTTCAAAACAGTCAGACACGAGGACATGCATTTACTGGGGAGGAGGGATGAAGATGACAACTGGAGTCTGAGCAGAGAAAGTGGGAGGCGGAAGGCAGCTTTCAGAGTGCTGAGCGAGGGAAAGCTGCAGACCCACAGTGCTGAACCCGAGAGAAAGGATCTCCAAGGCTACCTTTCTCTTTCGTAAAGAGAAACACAAGAAAGTCAATCACCAGCCAACTCTTTCTATGAGAAATACCAACACGTTCCTCCAAATTCTTGTGGAAGAATAAACACAACAGTATACACAGAGATGTGTGAGAGAAAGATTAATGACTGTTCAAATAAGCAGTAGCAATGAGTCATTAGGATTCGTAACAGGATAATAAAGAATAAGCAGTTAAATAACTGAAAGATTTTTTTTGTATGATTTGGGACATGGTACAAAGGCTTTAATCTAAGGCAAACTTAAATTATATTTACATTCTGGAATTTCTAGATTGGTTACTAAAATAACAGTAAAGTATATAAGAACACAAGCCATTGTGGGAGAAATAATTATATATCTATATATACACACATGGACACATAGACACACACAAACAGCATGAAGTGCAGACAACAAAGGAAACTGGTAAAAAGCCAACAGCAGATAGAATTGCTGGAGAGAGGGAGGAAAGCAGGAGCCAGTAATGGAGAGTGAGGGGGAGGGAGCAGATGGAGACACAAAAAGAGAGAGGGGTGGGGGAGCAGGATGCCTAGATGATACGGGGTCTCAGCACCAATGGACCCCAGACATTAACAACGTGGGCATTTTATCCTGGGGATTATAAAAGTCAAGATCTGTCTTGGGAGGGGGCTGTGGGCAGGGAGTGACTCAGAGGGAGGATCCATGTCTGCACCAGAGTCCCATATCTATACAGAATCAACCCAGTCTCCACTCTGCTGTGTTACCTCATGGCCCACTGCTCTGTCTGTGACAACTTTTAAGACCCAACCTGAAAAGTGATAGCTTTGGCTCTCTGCGCTATACCAATGTGAGAAAACCCAAGGTAGGACTCAAAGTGCAAGCCCCAGCCCCAGCCCCAGCCCCAGCCCCAGCCACAACCCCAGCCCCAACCCCAACCCCAGCCCCAGCCCCATCTATTCTTCTCTGGACCCACTGAAGGGTGAGGCTTACCTAGCACATCAAAGGGAGATCTAAGGCTCATCTCAGATGCAGCCCTCACTAGCGGAACGACCTCATGCAAACCCCTTCACTTCTCTGCCTGGTTTTCTTACCTAGCAAACAGGGCTGGTGATCTAAGGCCCTCGTATGACTGCTGAAGGGAGTATTTGGGGATACTTCATTTCAGAGCCAGCTATACAAGAAGGAAGACAAGTCAACATACCTGGGGGCTGTGGGCCAGGGACCCCTGAGGCTGTCCTTGTTGACTGGAACACCATGGTGTCTTCTGTTCTTTCTGCAGCGGAGCCCTATCTTCCCCCACCCCATTGGTGTGTGCTTCCTGCGGCCCTTCCATGACTGCACAAACTGATGAGATAGTATTAACAACAGCCCTGCCTCTGGAATCTTCCAAATCTAAGGAAGGTCCTGCCTGCCCTCCTGTCACACCTGATTTCTCATTCAAGGGTGGCCCACAGGCTCTTGTGATCAGTTGCCTTGAAAACATAGTCACCTGGATCTCTTTGTCTTCAGTGTGTCCACAGTCGCCCTCCATCTTGGAATTTTCCTGAGGGTACCAATTTTCTTCCCCCAGACCTTTGCTCATCTGTAGGACCTCCTGCTCCAGGCCTTGGACCCTGTCTACAAGGTGCTTGTTTTCCCCCTGCAGAGCCCAGACCATGTCCTCTATCCCTACCATTGTTTCCTTTATCAGCCCTTTATAGCTGACCCCAAGCTCTGAGATGAGAGCCCTGAGCTCTCTGTTTTCCAGGGCAACATGCTTCATCCTACCCCTGGCTTTCCTGACACTCTCAGACACGGCTTTGTGCAGCTGGCCCAGGTCCCCCCTCAGTTTCTCATTCTCCTCTTCCAGCTGGGAAATCTTGCAGTAACTCTTCCCATTGCAGTCCTCCAGGTCGGACACAGCCTGCAGGCACTGTTCCAGCTCACGCTTGAGGTGGGCCAGCTCTCCCTGCAACCTGTGGTTTTCCTGCTCCAACCTCAGTGCCTTGGCTGCTTCTCTTGCGCGCTCCTTTTCACAACAGCATCCTTCATGGTGACATCCTTCTTGTTCTCTCTGAAGCCTGGCATTATCAAGCGAAACCTCATCTCTGTCTCCCTTCAGGTTGGCAAGGAGCTGATGGAATCTGCTTCCTGTCCACCATGTAGAGGAGAGCTGACTCCCACCCAGCTCTGCAGGGCCCCAGTTGGCTTTATCCCCATCAAGTGCTGCTCCTGGAAGGATTTCTCCAGTCCGTGGAGCCACATCCTCTTCCAGCCTCACTCTCCCACCATTCCTGTTTCGTTCTGCATTCAGATCCTGGCTGGCCAATGGCTGTTGAAGGCACATACCCTCCTCAGTGCCCCACCATGTGTGAGTGACACTCTGGCTCTCTCCTGTCAATGCTGACACCTGCTGGGGATCTCCACAGACAATCTTCAGGTTGTTCAGCTCCTGGAAGCAGGCCTCCACCTCCCTCTCCAGTGTGTCTGTCTGAAGGGCACACCTGTCCTGTCCTGTGATTAGAGCCTGTGAGGGGCAAGGACCATCATTGATGGTATCTGCTGAGGCCCATTTAGGAACCTGCAGCAAATCCCAATCACCTATTAGTAAACACTGTTCCTGACCCACATCAGCCTTGAACTCAGGCTGCTCAGAGATTCCCACAGAAGCCGGGTTAAATGTCACTCGGACCTTCACCTCCTCCTCTTGTTCTTCATCCCCAGATCTCTCCTTCTGCAGGAGCTGAGTATCTCCAAAGCACAGCTGGTGGCCCTTCTCACCCTGTGTTCTCCTCCAGACTTCTTTGCCCTTTCCTGCTGGGAGCTGGATACCTTTTATCCTTGGCTCTTGGGTTCCATGAGCACTGAGGCTGGTAGCCTCTTCCTCCTCTGAAGACAGAGTTTTCAAGAGTTTCTGGCTATATCCTCCCACACTCCCTCTCTTGCTCAGGGAATCAGGACCCTCCTGTGACCTAGGGGTCATCCCATGCAGAGGCAGTAGTAGACATTCTCTCCGGAGCCAAGGAAAGTGGGCCTCAGCCTGGGTATCCGAAGCTTTGTTCCCTTCCTGCATGCCATCTGGGGCTTGAACCTCAGTGTCCAAGATCAGCTTCTCACTGCTCTCCAGGACCAGCGGGCACTTGTCATCCAGCTCTGATTTTATCCCATCCAAGGTTCCCATCGCCTCCAACTTCTCTGCACTTGCAGCTGGAGGCCCACCTCTCTCCTTGCACATGTCTCTCTGCTCCTTTGGCCCTTTTGTGAGAAATGAGCCATTTGAAATGAGCCGGGACTCCTGGCTGAGGAAGGTGTCATGGCTCCTTGCCAGATTACAGTGCCAGCCAGGGTGTGCCAAAGCCTCTGGTGCAGGTGAGGGCTTGCTGGCTCCATCTTCTTGGGTCTGAAGTTCATGTAGGGGACATTCCTGGAGCAGAGATGGCAGTAGGATCTCTGGTTCCCTAGCAGGTCCCCAGAGCTGGAGCATGGATATGGGTAAAAACAGTAGGGGTTCCTGGGCTCCAGCATCTTGGAGAGTCTCTGAAACTCCTGCCAGGTTCAAAGAGCAGAGTGGCTCATCTGTGCTTGGCCCTGGGGGACAGCCACACAGCGGCCAAAGAACCTGTCCACCTAGGTGGCGCTGGAGAAGAGCACCCTGCAGTTGGAGAGAGGAGATGAGGTATGAAACAGCCCTTCCCTGCTGAGCCCCGCCCACATTTGATCATGTCCCCCAATCCTCTCTGATTCTGCTCATACAGCTGCACGTGTGTCCCACTCTTCCACCAAAGGGCCTGCCCAGGATTCTCCTTCTCCCAAATATCCTCAAGGAACACCCCTTTATCTCAAAGCAAACATCATTGCCTCCTCACAGAGAACCCAATATCCTTGGGCACTCCCTGGCCATCCTCGCTTATCTTCTGCATACTACACCATAACGAATCACGCACAGATGTTGGTACAATCTGTTGGCCCATCCTCCCTATTGCCCTTTACCCAACACAGTCTCCACAAGCACCACAGAACTCGAACAGTTATAAATGAGGTTTGATTCTGCAGGAGGACAAACAATCCTGTGGCTTCTAGCTGCCATCTCAAGTGGCATAGACTGAAAACAGCAACCACATGTGGAAGGTTCTAGTCCTCAATGTTACGTGGACTGTCTATTCCCCCGGGGAATATAGGGACTGGTCTTTATTTTGCCCCAGGACTGGAGTAGTGCCAAGCTCACTTGAGGGGCCTCCTAGACCACTCTTAATGCTTTATAGTCATTTATACCACATGTCTATCCAGCAAGGAATATCCTTGGCTCAAAACAGCACACCTGAATGGAACAGGAAAGTGAGTGGGTGCCAGATCTAGGCTCCAGTCAGGTTCTCTACTGGCCCCTGAGCTTCTCAGTCTTCCTGGCCTATAGGGAGCTGTGGGACTGTGGGCAGGCTCTTGGCAGGGACTCTGAACAGCAGAACTTAAGCCTTGCCTTTAACCTGGAGAAAATACTTGAATTCTGGAGCCTTACACACACACACCCCTTTGTAAACTGGGCATCCCTAAATTAAAGACTTAGACCTCAAGGGCAGTGTGACACATGGTTATAACACAGTGATGAGATTAGAGACAATAAAATTAGCAGAGACGGAAGTGGTGCTGAAGCTGAGCACATGCTATTTCAGGATGACAAAAGACGTGCATGAAAGGAGGAAGAGAGAGAGCTTGGCCCATAATGCCTAGAGATGTGGGCCCCTTGGGCCTCTACTTCTTAGTCAGTGGCTTTACAGCTTGTTTTTCATCAGCAAATGGGCTTGGGGGCAGGAGACATGTGAGAGGTCTCTGGAATCCAGGAAATGTGTTGGCAGCTCAGGGGTGAGGGCCTAGGAGTCCCCTGAGGTTGTGGGGGATTTCATTCCATAAGGAGAATACAGAACTTCAAATCTTTTGGAACACTGAGACTAGGTGACAGCCCTGGAGTGCCTCTGGGCTGCAGGTCCATGTCTATAAACAGGATGAGTGGCTGGCGCACAGAGCCTGTCTTCCTGCTTTCTCATCCTCTTTAGGGACAGGTGGAAGAATGGCTGCTGCAGGCAGCTCATCTCTCTCTCTCTCTCTCTCTCTCTCTCTTGCTGTGTGGAATTCCTTCCTCTACATAAAGCCAAACTGCCTGAGGGGATGGTTCAGAAAGTGAATGCATGAAGGCATGAATGCATGCACGCATGAATGAATGAGGTTCAGAACCACAGAGCCACATCAGGAAACCACTCTCGGCTCAGCTTTGTTCTTTAGGATAAGAGGCAGAAGCTGGGGTCAGCGGTTTGCCACAGTGTCAGGAAGAATTCAGATCCGGCTCCAAAGACCAGAAGGCTGGAGCGGCACAGGGTACAGAAGAAAGTCACGGGGGCTCTCCACCTCCAGGGCTGGGGAGCTCTTGAGAGTTCCAGTATCCCTCGGGTCCCATCATCTCTGAATAGAGGCAGTCCCTGCCCTGTGAGAGGTCAGGGGCTTCCCTAAGGCAACCAGAGTATCTTGGGGTAGCCCAGTCTAGACACTTAGTCTGGGCTTCTTTTCAGCCTACCCTACTTCTCAGCTAGCTCTCAGTGCACTGCATCTCAGCCCCTCAAACGTCCCCTCAATAATTTCCAGAACATTCTTTCAGATCTGGAGTTTCCTCAGGTAGCCACACTGCCGGGCACATAGCAGGGCCACAAGGGCCCCGCTGACCCTCATATCTGCAGAACCCTCTGGCCTCACCTGTCTATGCTCAGACCCTAGCGGGCCTCTCTGGAGCTTGTCTCTGGTCCTTGCTGGCACCACCATGCAGGGCTCTGCTCCACCTCCAGCACAGCCACAGGACTCTTCTGAAAGCTGGCCTAGAACAGCAAGATCCCAAGGTTAAAAAATCACTCCTGAAAGATCTATTACAATGGCCAACAACAACCATGTCAGCTATAGATGTCTCTCTTGTCTCTCTGTCCAGCACCACAGTGACTCGTGGTGAGCCCCACACTTCTGCCCAGTGAGGACCTGGGGCTGGAAGATGTGACTCACCTCCAGCTGTGAGCAGAGGAACTGGTTCTCAAGATTCTCCCATGGACCACAGCTGCAGTATGCCCATGAAGCCTTTAGGACCCTCAGTGTCCTCAACCGTCAGCTGGGTGATAACCAATCCTGCACTTTCAGGAACAGCCTTGCCAAGTCATGTCCCACCTTGGCCCACCCAACAGCTCTGCTCCCCAGACATGGCTGTAAAGGGGAATATCAGCCGCCTCCTCCTGCAAACAGAAGCCCTGGGTGTCATGAGACTGTGGGCTGTTCTTGCATTTTGAGGGCTGAGGATGAACAAGCAGGATCTCCTATAACAGGGATGTAGGAACCCATGTCTGACTGTCAGAGACAAGAGGCCTCGAAGCCCCAGCTATTCTCAGACTGACAGTCACAAATCTCATCTTCAACCCGATCCTCAGTCTTCAATCCTGGGGTGGAAGGGAGCTAGGGTGACCTCTGCTTAGGACAGATGTCTCTGTGAAGACAAGGCCCCACTACCAACCTGTAGCTGGCTGACACCCTTTGAGAGCTGAGTGCATGAGTTTATATGCCCAATTATCCTAAGCTAATGACCCCTGGAACATCACACCCTGATTCTGCCTTCATCGGCTGTGTGACCTTGAGCCTCTCTGGGCCTCCGCTTGTCTGTGAGAGGAATACACCATCCTGCCCAACATTGTAAGGGCAACATGAAGACTAAGGGAGAAATGTCAGGTGGTCCCTCTGTGTCGCACAGCATTCACAGACCTGCTGGGGCCTGACATCCATGAGCATCACTCTGGTGGTCTTGGCTACTGCAGGGATCCAGCACCTCTGCCCCGGATGGGGGCAGAGAATCACTCTGTGCACAGTCCAAGGCACCCTTGAGAGAGAGAAAAAATGGAACAGTCACAAGTGCCCAGCTGACTTGTTCACTTCAAGCCTATGCCTATGCTCCCTTTAAAGCAACAGTCAGACCCCTCCAAAATAAGTGAACTAAGGTCAGAAAGCAGTGAGCTCAAAGCTGGGCCATTGATTTATTAGGCCACATCATTCCTGTTGACTCTCGGGATTCTTTCAACAAGTTACAATGGGTAGCAGTCTGTCCTTGGAGTACTCCGTCCATCCAGACAAGAGATGGTGTGGTCAGGGCAAGGTCCCAGCCTTGCTCCTGTGTGGTCCCTCTGTCCCACTGGAGAAATATGGCACCTACCCAAGGAGTTTTGAATGTTCCTATCTGTCCCCTGTGAGCAAGACCCAAAGATGACTGTAGCTAATGACCTGGGAAAGGCCCACCCAGATCTGCAGGAGGCCAGCTGTGTGGACAGAGAGGAATATGCCCAGCATGGTCCTGGAAGCCACGTGTGGGCAATTGCAGCTGTCATGACCAATGTGGGCTCTTCGCTCTGACATGGTAGCCTCCTGGGTTGCCATCATCATGGCCACATTCTCTGCTTCTAGGCCTCTGTTCAGGTTATACTTTATGCTACTTTGGGGGAGGGTTCTAACAGTCATCCAACTCTTTGTGGCTGGCTCCCAGCCCTGTCCCCACTCCACTGAACATCTGGTTAGCAAATTACCCTGGAAATTAAACCAGGTCAGGGTACCTCCCCCTTCTCACTCTTCTCTTGAGCAGCAAGATAAAAATCTCATCTTCCTGGTCTCACACATACACCTTGTTCTGTGTTCCAGCTGGGAACTCTAGGCTCCAGGTCATGGACAGGGGCCGTGGCTGAGCTGAGGGATAGCTGAGTGGCCCTGAGCAAGCCCACACCACAGTAAATGTCTGCCCCTCACCTGGAACGGGCTTTTTAACAACTCAGTCTTGGGAGCATGCAATCCATGCAGGATAGTAGTAAAGAAGAGCTTAGTGTCTTGCAAAAGCAGTGGCTAAGTCCCCCACAAGGCTTCCTTTTCGGCCTTCCTTGACCTTTCCACCAATAACGTCCCCATCAACCTCCTGCATGGCCCCTCCTTCTGCGACTCTGTGCTTGTGACCTCATGTCTCTCTGTGCAACAGTTCGTGCTGTGTCCTTTTGCTCACAATCAGAGTCCTCAGCTCCGGCTGCATCATAGGATCTTCCAGAAGCTTCCAACAAGGACTAATGAGAACACTTGACCCTAACCAAGAGCAGCCAGAGGGCAGAGGTACCAGTTCACATACTACCAGACAGCGGGCCTGACCAGATAAGCCACTGTCGTATGTGCCCAGAGCCCTGTCATCTGTTTCTGTCCACTTGGATCTCACCTGGTCATAACTAAACAGTCCGTCCTAACCACAGCTGAAAAATTGCCATGAAAGCAAGATGGAGGATCAGGAAGATGAAGGGAGGGAGAAAAAAATGTAGGAATGTTGAAAAAGATAGGGGGAAGGAAGGATGGAGAAAGAAGAGACTAGAAAAGAAAAAATAAATGAAACAGAAAAAGAGGGAAGGCAAGGTAGGGAAGGAAAGACTAAAGCTCCTAATAAGAGCGAGGAGAGAGGATGGAAGGAGAGCAGGAGCAGGCAGATGGAGGAGGGAGTCAGCGCAGAGCCACTTATCATGATTCATCCAGGCTGCACATCCACGATCACACTTACTGCACATTCTGCCTGCACCATGCCGCAGTGCACAGATGATTTCATGAAAGCTTGCTGAGCCCTCGCTAAGGGCCAGGCCCCGTTCTGAGGCTGGGGACACAGCCACAGAAAACACACATGCTTTCTGCTCCACGGAGACACCTAGGGTGTATCTTAGATGATATGATACTAAAATGATAGCTTTTATCCAGTCTACCCCCTTCACTTCATGAGTGATTAATTCAATAGTCAGGGAAGGGAGAGCTAGTTATCTAAAGTCACATGGCAAGTCAAAGGGAAATCAGATGAGTTCGCATCACTGGCGTTGACCCTGACTCTTCCCAACACTGCGTTCTGCTCAGCCCAAAGGAGCATTGGTTTGGACTCTGGTTTTGCCTCAGTGGGCGATTATTCTGAGTTGGTGTTTTCTAGACTCAAGTATTTGTATGTCATGGTACATCCTTCCAGACTTTTCTCCAAGCCCAGATAACAGAAGATTTCTAATTAGTTTAGAATAATCAAGTCCTCCCAAACACTCCTGCTCTGGTTTTGGGGCTTCCCACCATTCTCTGCCACATAGACCTTAAGTCCCAGCTTCTAAAAACGGTGACATGACCCACATGGGGCCATGCAACTAAATGTTTCAAAAATGGCAAATGTAAAGGTTTCTGAATGCTCATGTACCCCAAAAGAATTCAGAATCAAATAGGTATTCAGAATGAGGTGTTCCTGATAGCGCTCACCCATGTTGCACTGTGTGACTTTATATAAAAAAACACATACACACATCTACTCATCTGTATAAAATTTTTTCTTTCACCTTTAGTAAATGGCAAATATGTATGTGTGTGAAAAAGTTGTCCAAAATAAAATTTTAATTAATTTTAATTTTAATCAGTAAATATTTGGCTTATATACTTGTTTTTAAATTCATTTAATTTTTATTTGTGTGTATCTGTGTGTCTGTGTGTGGGTATGCACACGTGTGGTGGGGAAGAGTGTGTGCCGAGGCCAGAAGAGGGCACCAGCTCCCCATGGAAGTGGAGTTGCAGGGGGTCATGAGCCTCCTATGTGGGTGATGGGCATCAAGCCTGGGTTCTCTGGAGGAAGGGTACATGATCTTAACCATCAAATCATCCCTCCAGCCCACCTACTTCATATGCTGACATTTCTGGGGTTATGGGAAAATCTTAAGAGCTGGAGTGTTTCCTTCACTGCTGGTGGGAATGTAAACTTGTATAACCACTCTGGAAATCAATCTGGCACTTTCTCAGACAACTAGGAATAGCTCTTCCTCAAAATCCAGCTATACCACTCCTAGGCAGATATCCAAAAGAGGCTCAAGTACACAAAAAGGACATTTGCTCAACCATGTTTGTAGCTGCTTTATTTATAATAGCCAGAAGCTGGAAACAGCCCAGATGCCCCTCAACTGAAGAATGGATGCAGAAACTGTGGTACATCTATACAATGGAGTATTACTCTGCAATGTGTAGATGTACCACAATTTCTGTATCCATTCCTCAGTTGAGGGTCATCTGGGTTGTTTCCAGCTGCTTGGCAACCACTGACTCCTTTCTTCGAAATGCACTGTGATCTGAATGTGACAAGTCCCCACAGGCTTGTACGTATGAGCCCTCGGCCACGGCTAATGGCACTGTTTCGGAAAGTTGTAGAACCTTCAGAGCGTGTAACCTCACTGGAGAGAGTAGGTTACTGGGGGAGGGCATTGTGGTGGCGCACACTTGATAAGCTGGCCCCGCTTCCTGTCTGCTCCCTCCTTCCTGAGTGCAAACACAAGGTGATCAGCTGTCCCATGACACTGCTGCCATGCTTGTTCCCCCATGCTTCATCATGCTGGGACTGTGTTCCCGCGTCATAAGATAAAATAAGCCCTTCTTCCCTTAAGCCGCTTCTTCTCAGGGACTTGGTCACAACAAAGAGAACAGTACATGTCTGTTAAAGGGGTCCATGGTCACATAGTAAGTATGGCATTCATATGGCATCTAATACTCACTGACAGACAGCCCACTTCAAAGGCTTAGGCTTCCAAAGGCCCAGACCTTGCAGAGCAGCAGTCCCTTTAATAGCTGCTTGTATTGACTCTTTTCTTCTGTTTTCTCTGTATGTGTATGCATATGTGTGTGTGTGCGTATGAGCACGTGTGAAGGGGGCTGGGAACTAGACTTAGGGCCTCACGCATGGTAGGCAAGTACTTTATCGCTTGACTTTTGGGGTTTTTTGAAGTTGTTTATTTTGTTTTATGTGTATATGTGTGTGCAGGAGCCCTTGGGGGGGGGCAATGGACCCCTGGAAGCTGGAATTACAGACAGTTGTGATCTACTCCATGAGGATGCTGAGAACCAAACCCTAGTCCTCTACCAGAGCAACAGGGGCTCTGAACCACTGAATCATCTCTTTAGTCCCTTGACTGTATTTCCTAATGCCCCTGTTTGCTGTGGAGTGAACAGCCACCCTGTGACGATAATGTCCTCCTGTAGGGAGGTCAGGGGTCATCTCCTAACAATGAAAGGATTTCCCACCCCTGTGGCCAGGTGTCACGCTGTATACACTGCAGCACAAGGAAGTCCAGACAGCAACCAGCAATGCCCATCACTTCAGCACTTCAGCTCCAGGATGACAGGGGACAGGGTGACTTCGAGAGCCTGACTTTTCATCTCTAGACAGAAGCCTCTCTCAGTGACCCTCCAGGCCATGTCACAGCCATCTATCTGTCTTCTGATGTGGCTATTTAAAAGCCTGAACCACGACTGCTTGAACCTGTGTTTGTCTCTCCTCCAAGCTCTTGAAGAGCTGGGCCACACCCAGATAAACCCTAGTCAAGGGTGCAGCGCTGTGCCTGGGACACAGCAGAAGCCCAACAAACGCTCTCAGAGAAGCACACAAATGCACACCACCAAGCAAATGTCATTTTGCGACCCACTGCCCTCCTCAGCTTCTTTCACCTGCAGGGGTCCTTCTCCCAAACTCCTCCCAGTGCCCCATTCTTCAGGGGACTTGGGTTTTAGGCGCCTTATTCTGAAAGTTCTCAGCTAGCTGAAGTTGGGGAAATTGAGTTCACTCCTCTAGACTCAGCGTGGGGACAAGGACACTAACTCCTCTCTGGCTGCTTCACAACACCTGAGAGAGCAAGTGTCTTGTGGGTAAGAAGCAACCAAAATGTCTTCTCCCAGTGCCTGCCCTCCCTGTCACTCACAGCACAGCTCCCAGGGCCCATCAGATGTAATGAGCAGAGGACCATCTCGGGAAGCCCGGGGCCCCTTCTGACCTGGCTTCTTTCATTTGCTGGAGCATGTGACTTTCACTTGCCTCAGTCTGCAAAGTGAGGACTAATCATTTTATCGCCCCGTCAGCTGGCTGCACCAGTGCCCGGTAAACGGCAGCTTCGTGAAAGCTGTCTGCTGTACAAGTCGGTGAACAGACTCACTCCGGACCTCTTGTTTCCCAGCCTCTGTCCCTCACAGCTGTACAGTCTCGTGAAGACAGTCCCTACGACTGGGGCAAGCGGCCTCTTGTGGTCATTTCCTCACTGAGTGGCTCATTCCCTGAGCATCGAAGTCCACGGGTGTCAGGCGCATCTCACAATAAGAACATTGGGACATATAAGTTTAGCAGCCCAAGACTATCCTGGCTGGTCTGGATCACTACTGTCCCCTACGTGTGATCCCCCCATGGCTTCCTGTATGAGAACCTCCACCCACTTCAGCACGGGACTGTCCATACTGAGCAGTGTTGCATGACGCACAGGTTCCTAACAGCAGCCTGTTCTTTTCCCTCTGCTCCACACAGCATAGGGACCACTGCTTATGGACAACTTAGGGAACCTGCAAGAGACATTCTTCAGCTTCGACGGTCAAAGCCCTTCTTGAGATTCAGCTCCTCGGGGCACAGAGCCTTCTGAAGAGAGAGCATATAACACTGACGTCATGGATACTTGTGACCGATGATGGCTTTCCAGCTGAGGGCATAGGTAGGTCCTACAGGATCCAGCCACTGAGAAGCCCAAAGCCCCAAAGAGCTACTAACTGTGGCATGATTTCCTGACGGTCTTGGTGCTGCCTTGGTGTCTGTGGCCAAATCACTTGCCCTCCCTGGGCAGTTATCAGGGGAAACAACCCCTAATAAATTAGGGGTTAAAGGGGAGAACAGGAAATGGAAAAATAGGAGCAAGACCCTGCCAGCCTCTATGAACCAGTTCTTTTCCTCAGAGATGTGTTCTGAGGGAACAGTGCATCCCTGCACTCAGGATGATGACAAGAGGAGAGAATGAAGCCTCAGGACAACTGCCTAAATGAGAGCACATTTCCGGCAATCGCAGAAAAGATTCTAAATGACAAGTTCCATGTACACATCGTTTATTTTCAGAATTACAAGGAGACGATGATGAGTGTACACTCTGTTTTCCTCTTAGTGGCTGAACAAGACACGCATGGGAAGAAGAGATCGGAGATAAAGCAGTGAAAATGCACAACAGAACACAGTACTGGTAAGCTGGCCCAGACAAGAGACACACCGTTGTCTGGAGAACTTGAGCATTCTCGGTTCCAATTAAAAGACATTTTGAATGTTTAAATAATCAACTCCCATTGGTTTGTATCATCTGTCTGTTTTTGTTGTGATTTTGTTTGAGGCGGGGTCTGAAACCTCCCAGGCTGGCCTGGAATGTGTTATGTAGCTTGAACTCCTGATCCTCTTGCCTCTATCTCCCAAATACCCCTCTTCTCTAAGGGAACAGAACTCACTCTAGTTATAGGGGCACATGGCTAATGTAGCTGCCGCCACCCACCCTGACGCCATGTCTAATATGGACCAACTTCCAGGTCTGTCTCTCAACAGCTGTGTGACAACAGCTAAGGTACTACCGCTCCAAGCCTCAGCTTCCTCTCTGTGGAACAAGGCTGCTGAGAACAGCTGTCCCTATCTCCACAGCTTTGAAAGGAAGCTTTGGCAAGAAGACATTAAATGCACATGTTTACTCTTCCATGAAGTAAAAAGGAAAGAAATTCCCAGCCTCCCCTCCCCAGCTTAAGAAACATACCCAAGTTTAAAGAGCTAGAAGAGAGCAGAAGAGGCCCAAACACTGAAGCTTTCTCCCTGGGCCCCCTTGTGTGCTGCTGCAGGGAATGTGGGCTGCAAAGGCCAGTGGATGATGGCCCTGACCTGGGGAGGAAGTAGATCACAGCATGGAATGACCACAGGAGAGGTCATTGCCCCGGTGGAGGGGCTGAGTCAGAGACCTACACTGAGGGGTAAGGACCTGTCTTTCACACAGCTTGCACACAGTCAAATAGATGGATGAACATAGGGACAGACCATGAAGGGTAAGAGGGGCAACTGGCTGGCTGGCAACCAGCTGGATGAGCAGACAGACAAGGAAGATACAGGTGAACGGGGGCAAAAGGAAGCACAGGGAACAGTGGGCAGATGGCTGCCAAATGTTTGTTCTCTCCCCTCCTCGGGTTCATGTGTTGAAATCTAATCACCAAGGTAATAGTGTCAGGAGGTGATTAGGTAGGAAGGAAGCACCCCTGGGGTGGCATCATCACTCTCCTTAAAGAGGCACATGCCCTTCCACCCTGGGAGGACAACAGCTACAAGGTGTCATCTACAAATCAGTTCCCTGACACCGAGTCTGTGGGTGCCTTGACCTTGGACCGTGTGGGGAAGGCTAGGCTCGTGTTGGGGTTTGGGTGCTCTGATTATTTCCCTTGCCGCTGCGATAAAAATACCGAGCAAAGCAACTTGAAGGATGAAGAATTTATTCTGTCTCTTCCTGTAGAGAATACAGTCCACGGTAGCAAGGAAGGCACAGGGCTGAGAAGCTCAGCAGGGAAGGAGTCTGGGTTCTGCTTCCTCACAGCTCAGAGGTCTGGGGAAGCTCCTGCAGGGGGAGCCTTGAGCTAGAACCTCACTTCACCCCAGCAACTCACTCCCTCCACCCAGGCCCCCCTGCTGGAGTGCCTCTAACCTTTCAGCATTGTGACTGTAATGTTTTCATTACCAAGTTCAAGAACTGCCTGATAGTTACTTTCTTAAATCCCTAGTGTTTTAAGTCTCGGGTTTTGTGTTGGGCTACATACATAAAAAGAATGCATCCCAGGGAGTTCAGATTGGACACGCCCATCAGATCTAAAGGTTCCACGGCTCCCCTAAAAAGGACCAGCATCCGGGGACCAAGGGCTCAAACACATGAGCCTGTGGAGGGACAATGCACATTCAAACCCCTTAAGGTGAGGGGAAGTGCAGCAAAGGTTGGCAATTGGCGGTGGAATGCAGTACAGAGTTGGACATGGGAGTCAGCAAGTGGGTAGATGGGTGGGGAGGCATCAAATGACTGACAGATGAGTAGATGGCCGTATGGGTAGTCAGGCAAATGAGTTGACGGGCATGGTGACCTTGTGTGTATGGGTGGTGGGGCCAGAGACTGAGCATGGTGAAGGATGGACCAGATCTGTCTCCGATCAGATAAACGATGAGAGGATGCTGGGAGTGACTTTGATCAAGTGGCTGGCTGGATGGCAGTCAGAGGACAAGCGGTCATTCTTGCCCTGGGTCCCGGCCACTTACCGGGCTACCGTGCCCCAGCTGGGACCGCAGGCGCCGGTTTTGCTGGGCGAGCTCCTCCACCTGGCTGTGCAGGCCGATCTCCGACAGCGTGAGCCCGTACACGCAGCAGCGCAGTTCCTCCAGCTGCTCCCGCAGCTGCCGCTCGGTGGCGCTGTGCTCCCGCAGCCTGCGCGCCGCCTCTGCCCGCTCCCGCTCCGCGCGCTCCGCCCTGGCCCGCCACGCGTTCAGCTCTGCGGCCTCGGGGACGCCCGGGGGACCGGCCTGAAGCTGCGGCCCGGAGCTACTCGCACTAGACAGCGGGTCGGGGGCCTGCAGCTGTGCCAGCAGAAGTCCTGCAGCGCGGCCTAGGCGCTGCACATCGCGCTCCATCCCCTGCACCTGCGCCCTCAGCACTCGCTCCTGCTCCCGCACCAGGCCCAGCTGCTGGCGCTGCACCCGCCCGCAACGCTCCAGGGTGGCCGCCTGCCGTGCCAGCGCCTCGTCCTTGCGCCGCAGCCGTTCCTGCAGACGCCGCTGCCGTCGGGCCGCGCTCTCGGCCTCCCGAACCTAGGAGTTGGCGGTGATGGGAACGTCAGGGAGGCCCAGGCGCGAGCCTTGCGAGCCTTGATTTCTCTCCCTAACATTTATGAATGGAAGGTATTTCGCTTAAAAATGTTACATCGGGACCCAAGCTGGCTCAGAGGGTTAAAGACACTTGCCACCAAGCATGAGGACCCTAGGGGACCCGCGTGCGGTGGAAGGAGAAAACCAGTCCCACCAGGTAGACTCTAACCTCCGTGTGCACACGAATGCACACGCACTAAACAAATAAACAAACAATTTCTTAAAAGCTATGCTGATTGCCGAGTTTGCTGACACTACAGCCAAGAGTCCCCTTCACTTCACCCTAGTCAGAGCCCAGCCTATCTCCTCGAGTTCCCTAAGTCTGTGGAAGAGTGTGCGGTGGATTGAAAGGGCAGGGCACCCTGCAGAGGGTCTCTAGAATTGCTCAGTCTGGACAGTCCACACCGATTTCCAGACTCCACAGAACTTTCTGGAACTTCCCGTTTCAGGGATGTGAGCTGAGCAGGGGCCAGGACGCCACAGCGGCTGTTCACAACTGTAGCTAGTCCCCTACCCACCACCCACCCCACAGAAATAGAGCTGTCATTCATCTGCCCCAGCATATACTCAGAAGCTGCCTATATACCGAGACAGCTAAAACTCTTGCAGCCAGCTCTGGCGCACGACATGAGAGCTCTGTGTCTGACTCAAGGGTGTTTCTCTGTCCCTTTGGCCGTCTGCCTGAGCAGGAACATTTCTCCATATCCTGACACCCAACTTCTCCCTACCACATACAGTGAGCTGAACTGGGGTGCAATACCACCCTGAAATCTGTAGTCCTCTGTGTTCGCAATCTGTCCAAACACTGCCTCTGTGGTTAGCTTTCTTTCACCAGCTACCTGCTACCCTCTGCTACCAGAGAGCCAGCACGGGAAAGGGGCAGAGAGAAAGCAGACTGGAAGTAGAACAGCTCAGGCTGGCTTGTGGAGTATTTACTGGCGGGGTGTGAAGAGGGAATAAAAACAAGGGTTGAGTTTTCTGGATGGAAAGTCTTCTCGGCTTTATACTGATGTAAACTGTACTGGGTGCCTGTACGGTTCTGGAAGCCTGGGGAATCCATGGCACGTGTTACTGGGCCTTTGGCACCTCTTAGGATGAGCAAAGCTCACAGCAGAAATGAGGCCTCTTTGCTTCCTGGGAATCTGACCAGAGCAAAGCTGCCATCTGAGACAGATCAGACACAAAAGATGCCAGAAGCCTGTTCACACATCCCTGCAATACTGTCTCCTACATTCCAAAATCTCCACCAAAAAATAAAAAATAAAAAACATAAAGACTAGAGGTTAAAGATGGAGGCTGGAATGCAACTGGACCACCTGGGCCCTGACCAAACCACTGGATCTGTAAATGGACTTCTTGACAGGTTTGTCTGAGTGCATTTGTGTTGCTCGAGACAGCAATGACAGCGGGAAGCATGTGAGAAGGGCTTGTACACCTGGGCTCCCTCAACACCTCTTTTCCCACAATTAGCTTAAGTGTCACCCTTACCCTTCATCTTCCATCATGCTATAAGCATCTCCTACTGCAGGACCGTCCCTGACTCCCCTGGGGAATCCCAGGTAGACAGAGATCAAGGCCCAAAAAAACAAACAAACAAACAAGCAAACCCTTACAGTGTCTCCTCGGAGAAGCCACATGCCCCAATTCAGAGCCACATTCAGTACCTGGCTCTGAAGACTCCCTAGGGTTGAGAGGGTAAGGGCATGTGAGCCGAGGAACCAGTTTAACCTGACTTTGTCTCCAAAAGCCAGAGGAAAGGTGAGAGTGCCACCTGGCCCTAGTACCCAAGGATTGAAGAGAGATAAGCTGGACTCCTTCCCTTCCCACACTACACGTTTGTTTGTGTCAGCGAACACCATGGCTGCCCACTGTCAAAGACACACAGAGACATCACATACGTCACACACACACACACACACACACACACACACACACAAAGACATACACAAAGATACAGCTGAACAAGATCTGAGAAACAACACTCCCTTCAGTGCAGGCTCCGCCTATTCATATTGAGTTCGCCTCTCACGAATGGGCTGCACCCTGCCATCGCAAAACCCTAAGCTGTGCTTTAAAGAACAATTCCCTGAAGCCCAGAAGCTGCATGCCGAGGCATCACTGGGTACCTATTGCAGAGGTTCAGGTCCATCTGCTAATTCTTCTTCAATACAGCCTGCATCATCTGCCCTCCTGGAAGGTTTCTTATGATGGGTGACGGCAGACACACCTAACGTTATTAGGCGCCAGCTTCTCTGAGCGTTCTACATGTATCTACTCGTTTAACTCATACGACCAGCTGAAGGGTGACACCATATTATTCCCATTTTACATACGAGGAAACTGAGACCCAGTGAGGTTGTGTCACTTGTCTAATGTCACACAGTCAATTAGGTGTAGGACTACGGTTTGCCTCCATAACATGCCCCTTAACTACTCACTTCTTGGTGGAGCTGTCTGTCATGCTCTGCCTCCCCACCCCCAAAGCTTTAGCTGTCTTCCTTGGGCCTCCTAGTGCCAGCTCTAACTGCTAGGAAGCCATCCCTGCAATGGTCCCTTTGGAGTTGCTGCTGTACCTCCCAGCCTTGCCCTCCCTGCGCGCACCTCTTTTTCTGGCCCCCCACGGCATTTGCTCTGCCTCATTCTCACTTCAAGTAGCTTTCCCAGCAAGGCCTGGGAAGGTCTGTCCCCAGTCCCCTGAAGTGTTGGGCCTGATAAGGCCTGCTGCATCTACCTGAGCCTGGCTCGAGTTTGGAGACCTGTCTTTAGCTTCTGATTTAAGAGGTACCACTTCCGGGCAAAAGTGATTCAGCATATCCGCCTTAAAATCAACCCTGCCTGGTAACTGTTACGTGGAGTTTTGTCGCTGGCCCACCTCTTTTTGCACTACCTAACCTTGTCCTCTATGTCATCTTACCTCACTTCCTTAACCCTGACCCCTGACCCAAATCTATAAAAAGGACCATTTTATTCAATAAACCGAGTTCCTGCTTCGACAGATCTCCCAGTTTGGTGGTGTTTTATTCCCTGGGGCATCCGGGGAGGTCCGGGCCATCGACACCCATCATCCCGCTCAGCCACGGAGGGCATCCAGCTGGACTGGCCACCCTCCTCTCAGCTCCTCCTGCCAGATATCGACTCGGCACTAAAGTATCTTTTCCCCATCACATCCACAAGTACCCAAGTCCTTCCTCCACCCAAGACCAGGTTCTTATCTTCCCTTTGTCCCCACCTCCATGCAGCAATCTGAAGACAGAGACCCGCATTGGCCACCTCCTGTCCTCAGGGACCCAGGCATGAGAAAGGTACCAACACTCATACTTCCCCAGGAGGCCTGAAAAGGCAGGCAGGGAGAAGCTGAGGCCCGGGGTGACCACATGACCAAGTGCTAGGAAGTGGAAGGGACACGAACCCAGCTGACCAGTTCCCCCTGCAGTGCCTGCAGCTGCTCCTGGGCGTGGAGTGAGGCGCTTCTTTCCTGGGCCACACAGGCGCTCAATTGTTCCACCTTCAAGAGAAGCCTCCTCTCCGACAGCTCCAGCTCCTGGACCCTGTGGGACCAGAAGCAAGAGACACTCACTCAGGGCGGGAAGAGCAGACTGAGTGTAAACACCACCACCACCGCTGGCCCACCATCTGCCCAGAGGCCGGTCTAAGGGTTTCATTGTAAAACACTCATGTTTCACCAGCTCTTGCTCTCATTCTGTAGCCCAGGCTACCCTCAAACTCATGGTCATTCTCCTCCCACCTCCCCAGTGCTTGGATGACGGAGTGAGCTACCATCCCAGCCATATCTATGTTGTTAAAGTCTATGCTCTACCTCAAATCTGTACTTGCAGGGCTGGGAAGATGGCTCAGTGAATACGAACACTTGTTCAGTGAGCATGAGGACCACAGTTCAAATCCCCAGCTCACGTATAAAAGCCATGTCTATAACTCCAACTTGGGAGCTCACTGGTCATCCTGCCTAGTCAAAATGTGAGCTACCAGGTAATAAGGTAAAGAGTAATGAAGACACGCTCATGTCCCACGTGGGCCTCTCCAAGGATGAAGATGGACATTCATACTACAGATGTGAGTATACACATAACAATGTCACTTGCCGTAGAATTCAATCTTAAGTCTTTCTCAGCCCTATATGAAGACCAAGAGAAACTTAATGGAGTCTGAACAGCCAAGACTTTTTTTTTTTTCACTATCAGAACACTGCTCACAAGTTATGCAGCCTCTGGGTAATATATTTTACACATGAGGAAAAAAAAAAAACTGAGTAGCTGTTCCAAACACGACTAAGAGTTTCCTCTCCTTGAGGAGGTCCCTCTAACCCTAGTGAGTAAGTCCTCTGGAGCTAATCATTCAGGAGGTGGGATTGGCATCTTCTCACTGTTTTTGAGATGTACTGAGAGTAGAAAAGAAAAAAATAAGTCATTACGTTTATTTGCCAGGGGAGGAGGGGGGGGGTCCACCTGTGCCCTGAGCTCTGGTGACAGTCTGCTTCTGACCCAAGAAAGAAAAGATCAGCTCACTGCAGTAGCCAAGCTATGGTTCCAGACACACCCAGATCCTGCTCTCTGCAGGAAGAATGTCACCCTTCGTGTGCACAGAGGGTACAGGGCAGGTGAGCTGGTGAGAGGAGATGGCTCCTGGACCACCATGTGGTCTCTAGCTAGTCAGAAGAGGCCTGGTGGAGCTGACCGAAGGAAAGAAAGCTGCAGCACCGCTAAGGCATCATGCTTGCTGCAGCTCTGACATGGGCTGGGAGCCGGGGAGGGTGGACCAGGGATGGAGCAGCTAGGAGTCAGAGTCCCAAAGTTGTCTGGAGTGGGTGTGACCCTGTTGACAACTTGAACTAAGCCTGAATCCTAATTTCCAGCCTCCAGAGCTGTTAATCCACCGAGCCTGGGTTCCTGTTGTTTGGGGTTTGTTTGTTTAACAGACATTGTGCGAGTGCAAATGCGTGCATGTGTGGAGGCCAGCGGTGGACATGGGGTGTCTTCCTCAACCACCCCCCACTTTGTACTTACCTGACACAGAGCCTCTTACTGAGCCTGAAACTCACTGGTTGTGTAGGCTGGCCGGTGAGCTCCGCTGATCCCTTATCTCTGGCTCCCTGCACTGCCGTCACAGGTGTGTACCGCCCCTGGCTTTTTTGGGGTGTGGAGGGTGTAAAACTCAGGTTCTAGTATTTGTACAAGAGGCACTTTACAGACGGAGCCATCTCCTTAGGCTGTTTGTAAGCTACCAAGTTTCATGGATGTATGCTTATAATCCCAGAACTCTGGAGGGAAAGGCAAAGGGATCAAGAGTTCAAAGCCACCAGTGTCTACACAGCGAGTCTGCAACCAGCATGGGCTATGCAAGGTCTTGTCTCCAATCCCACCACCACTGTTCCCAAGGAGAGCTGCCGAGTTTGTGCCATTTGTCACAGCAGCCACAAGAAACCCATACACTCAGGATCATGAAGTGGTCAAGGAACTTTTTTTCTGACTAAATTAATCACATGAGGCTTGTGAAGATGATGCCACAGACAGCGCTGTGAACCCAGGAGGCTCTTCCATGAACACGTGGGCCCACAGTGGCCATGGGCTAGACTGCCAGGCACCTGGAATCAAGTCCCACTGCCCTAAGGGGTGCACAGGGACAGTTACACAGCAGGCCTTGGCGTCGCCTTCATAAAACAGAATCCTCACCAAGCAGCCCCTGCTGAGCGGGCAGGGCTGACGCGGAGCAAAAGTGTGACAAGCGCCCAGCGTGACTCTGCTCCATTTAGGTCAGGAATGACTGTGAAGGGAGGTCTGGTGAGATGGTAACGGGCGTTTTTCTTCTTTCCACTGTCTAACAATTTGGCCATGTTATTTTTATATTTTATCCATTCCTTTTAATAGGTAATTGATTTAATTAGTTAATTAATTAGCTAATTAACTAATTGACTCTTTTTTTTTAAAGCTGGCCCATGACTCAAAGCAATCCTCTTGGCTCAGGCTCCTAACTGCTGGGATTCTAAGCATGAGCCTCCATGGCCAGCTCTGTATCCTTTCCATATTAAAAAACAAAAACAAAAAAAAAAAAAAAACTTTGCATGTTAACATCTTTAATTTAAAATTCTTAATTTTATTTTTTTAATTTTGTGGAGACCAGGTGACAATTCCTCAGATGTCATTCCTCAGGCACCATTTACCTGGTTCTCTAATTATTTATTTTGTTGGGGGTTGGCAGCACCATGTGTGGAGGTCAGGTAACAAATCTGCAGAAGGTGGTTCTGTCCTTCCACCATAAGGGTCCCAGGAATTGAACTCATATCATCAGGCTTAACCACTAGGTCCTTAATTCACTAAGCCATCTCACTGACCCTGCCACACTAACCCTGGGGCTGCAGCAAGTCCACTCACTGTTTTCTAGTGGACCAGACACACTGGGAAGTCAGCTGGGCATCTGCATTCCCAGTGGGCTGACCCTACTTCTGCTCTTCCTGCCCCTGACTCTACAGTTTATGCTTTTAGCCTCAGTTCCCCCATCTGGAGAAGGGGGTAATAACGTTCTATACCTCTCAGGCCTCAAGAGAGTCAAAGTAGGACCAGAATGGAGGCCAGAGTGGTCCTTTCCTCCTCCAGCCCCACCACAGATCCTATCTCCCCATCCACTGGCCCTTTCCTGCAAGATGAGCACCACATCTTCAAAGACAACCGTGGATATGGCTTCACCCTGGGCTCTGGCTGCAGAGGTGCCTCCTGCCTCATCATAGGTCTGAATCAATGAACAGATTCACAACACAGTCTGAAACCCACTGTGAGCCAAAATGAACCTGTGCTCCTTTCATTAATTACTTGAGTATCTCGTCAAAGTGACAGAAAAAATAACTAACACACAGGGCCTCAAGAAACTCCCAGGGACCCCACCACCCCTCTTCCTGGCTACCATGAGGGGAACAGCATTCCTCTACCACACCCAACCTCCAGGGTGTCCCCAGCTTGTCACAGGCCTGTAGGAATACAGCCAGCTGACCATGGAAACCGCCAAGACGTTGGGCCAACATAAGTCCCTCCTCATGAGAGGAAAAGAGGGAGAAAAGGAGGCAGGAGGGAGGGAAGGAGGGAGAGAAGGATGAGAAGTAAATCATTGGGAGGCTATGGTGTGACCCAGCAGCACAGTGTTGCTCTAGGCTATGTAAGACCTTGAGTTTCATCCCCAGCACCACTGAAGGAAGGGAAGACAGGAAAAGGAGGAGAGGAGAGTGGAAGAAAGAAAAATGAGGGAGAGGATGAGAGCAAAGGGAGGGGAGGTGCCATTAGGAAAAAGCCAAAGAGGACGGGGTTTCGGAAAAGCCCTAGATTCAGATGCCCTTCCTGAGTCTGTGTTGACTCCACCAGGCAGCAAAACCCACACCAGAGGCTCAGCAGAGAGAAACAACTGTGGGGTACCCTAAATCAAGATGATGGAGAATTCGGTAGACCAGATAGATGACAGGGAGCTGGCTCAGCAACTCTGGGGCTACTTCTGGTCCTGGAGCTAGGAGACTACCCAAGGGGAACATATGACTAGGGTTTAGACCAAGCCATGCAGCAGGAGTTGGGCCCACAGAGAAGAGAGGCACATATTCATCTGGGCCCAGCCCCAACAGAATGGAGGTGAGGGAAAGATTGCGGGCTTCTCTCTTTCTCCCTCCCTGCCAGTGCTTCCCATTGACCACACCAGTGGACGGTGATCAAGCACAGAGCAGGAGAAGTGAGGGCAAATGACCACCTGAGGCTGGTTCTGCACCTCTGGTGAAGTCAGGATTCAGAGAACCACGGTATCGAAGGAGTTCATCACCACCCCCTTCTCCTCCAACAAGGGCGCTCACAGGGTTACACCCACCTGTTCCTCAGCCCTGACTCTGATATCACATGTTTGTCCACAGCTGCCAACAGCTTTCGCTCGGAGGATTCTAGCTGCTCCCTGAGCAGCCCTGTGTCCAAGTCCAGGCTGCTGGCTGCTTCTGGAAGGCATCCCTGCTCCTTGTCGCTCTCCTCCACATCTCGGAACACCCAGCACGTGTCAATCTTCACATCCACGTTTATCACATCGGAGCCGTCGCTGCTGGGAGCTCTGATGACGTAGCTGAAGCTTTTCTCAGTCTGTCCCTGGGCTGTCGGCTCCATCCCAGAAACATTTCACTGGCCCAGACTTTAAAAAAATGGAATGAGTCTACAACGTGGACTATCTGGAGACTCTGAGGTGGCTACTGTGCCTTTGGATTGTCCCGGAAAATGTCCTTTGAGGAGAACAAGGACAGGTGGATTATTCATGAGTGGGTAGCTTGGGTTTCAACCACACAAACGTCATGCAATACGGACGAGCATCTCATTTTACAAGCTGGCGTGCTAGAACACACCAAAGCAAGAGTGGGGCTCAGACTAGTCACCTGGAAGTAAATGCTTAGCAATACACACAAAGAGGAGTGGAAAAGGTTTCCAGGGAGTACCATCAGACACAAGTTCTCCAAAGCAAACAAAAAAGCGCATTCCCAACCCAAATGAGTGAGGTTCCATGCCGCTATCTAAGCATAATACATACTTACCAAGGACCTAGAATCGCCAGGCAAAGAGGAGAGATTATTGCCATACCAAGAGGTCTCTCACACCTACCTAGTCCAATTGTCCTGGCGACCCTATGAGGCCAGCATCTTCATGGCCATTTTAGAGATCGAGAGACCTCTGAAGGTGGAAGAGCTTGTCCAAATCCTACAGATGGGAAGGAACAGCCAGGTCTGACTCTACATTTTAGAATTCATGTTCTAGCCCAGGTAAAATCAAGTGTGGAATGAAAATGGTCTCTGGGCAGCAGAAAACAAGTCCTCAGGATCCAGAAGATGAGAAAAGCAAGAATGGCAGGGTTCAGCAGGCAGATGTAGGCAGAGATCCCTGGAGCAGGGGCAAGCCTCAGGCCAAAGCCAATAGGATAGGAGAGGCTGGCCACATGGTACACAGAAGGGGCCACACTCGCACAGGTACTCAGGGGTCTCTGGCATCTCACAGTGAGCACAGAGCATTCATGGCCATTCATAGCCAAGGAGGTAGCTGGTCCAAGGTGACATCAGAGGGTTTACAGGGGGAGAAAGGTAAAAGGACAGAAGTATGAAAACAAGAGGCTTTGCTTCCTCAGAAAATAATGGGAGGAGTTTCCACTCCGGTTTCTTAGTGTTTTCCTCAGAGCACTCGGACATGGACATGTTCATTTCTGAAGGAGTGCTCCTTGGGACCTGAAGGAAATCTTATCTCTCCCTCCCCTCCTCCCTCTGCACAAGGCTGTGCATTCAATCCCTCACCATTTGCCAGCCCTTCTCATACAATTGCCTCTTGCCATAAAGATAGATATTTATTGTAACCCTTTGTTTAACACCACTTAATGAAGCCAGGAAGTTACCTAGCTTACCAGTGGGTAAGCTTGGAGTGAGCTATCCTTGGGAAGGAGCAGCCATGGTCTTAGGGCCCAGTGGGATTTGGCTGGAAATCTTGTGTTCCCCGCCCCTAGCATCCTGTCTGTGCCCCTCTGGGTTGGCATGCTCTGCAACGATGCAGTTGGTGAACTCATTTCTACCTTAGCAGAGAGGCCTTCTGAGTTCCTAAGAGTGGATGCCTGGGGGGTGCGGGCAGGAGCATGGGTGGGGCTTGAAGAGCTGCAGCAGATTTGGGGCAGGCAGAGTTGGCCATGTGAAACACTGGCCTTAAAGAGACAGGAAGATGAACTCAGGTCATGGGTGCTGGGCCTGACTCTGTGAGTTTGAATACTGTCTCAGGTATGAATCTGGACAAATAAGTGAGGGTCTCACAAAAGGATCTCCAGATACCGTCTAGAGTTTAGACATCTGCATCCAGTGAAGGAATACATGAGTGGACTCACCCAGCCTGCTCAGAGATCCCAGCACATCTTCAGGCTAAGTATTGGCTGGATGTGACCTAGTAACCCTTCCTAGTGCATGCCCCCAGTTGCCTGGGCTGTGACCAGCCTTGTTACTTAGCTGATGCAGGGTACCTTGAGAATGCTAGAGGACCATGGTCCCTGCCCAGCCAGGATAGGAAACAACTGAGAGGGTCTCAGACTGGGTAGACTCCATGTAGAGCTGAGCCAAGACACAGGCCCAACCTTCTGCACAGAAGGGTGAGGGTGGGCCAGCATCTTGCAAAATGACACCACCCACAGGAAACAGTTCATTCCCTCACCCTGGGGAGGATTCCCCAAGCACCTGGCATGTGAGTCCCAGAAACACTGGCCACAAGATGCAGCCTGCTGTGGGAAGATGGCTGTCGGCTGAAGGCATCAGAGACCAAGGGACAGGTTTCCAAGAGACAGCCCTCCTAGCCCACAACAGGCACAAGCACAGCAGCTGCCTCTTGTTGGTGAATCACCAAGACTTAGGAGGAAAAGAGGGTACAGCTGGGAAGACTGAAAAGAAAAACGAATGCTGGGTAAAAGCCTGGGCCTGTGGTACCCAGTTTCCCTTGAGGAACAGGCCTCGAGAGAGTGGCTATACGAATAGGGACCAATGCCTTAGGAGATATGACTGAGAGATGGCCACAGAAATGACACAGGCCATGATTGTAGCATGATTGTGGGGAGGGTGAGGGGAGGATTTAGCCCGGGAGACCCAGCTCCTATCAGAGTAGGGCTCTGGATACGTGTGCCGGGGTCTGCAGAAACCCCTAAGAGTTTTTGGTTTTTTGTTTTGTTTTGCTTTGTTGTACAATTTGGTAGATTAAAAAGACATTAAAGTGCCTAGTTTGGGTTTTCCTGCTCTATGATGGGAGTCCCTTAACAAGCTGAGATTAAGCATGAGAAATTAAAAAAAAAAAAAAAACATAAAACATTTGTATGGTATTGGGAGTGCTTGGTGGGGGACGGGTCCTAGTGGTAAGCTGGCTAGGGAATCCAAAGGAAACAGGGGCCATATAACCCTGACCTTTGGGAAGAAAGACAAGAGGGAAGCAGGCTACAATTCTTCAGGGGAACATGGCCTTGGTTAAAGACCTCAAGCATGCCAGAGGACCATAGACCCTGTTCAGCCAGGATAGGAAGCAACTGGGAGGGTCTCAGGCTGGATAGACTCCATGTAGAGCTGAGCCAGGACACAGGCCTGTTTTTCTGCACACAAGGGTGTGGGTGAGACTCATCACTGTGCTCAGCAGGGGCACTTGGGTGAAAACCTCCCTGAGACCTGCTAGAGATGCAAAGTGAAGGCGACCTTGTAGGACACAGATCTTACAGCCTTAAGGGCACCCCCTACTTTTAAAGCTGAACTCCTCCAGTCTTCAGCTCATCTGGCCACCTGGCCCCAGCTCTGCCCATGCCTCCCTGCTTAGCCCCCAAGGGCTGCATGAATGGCAGAAGAGCCTTGATTCTTCAGCTTCCCTTTCCTGCTCAAGACTTCATGCTTAGGGGTCTGGTACAGAAGTGGAATCTTGTGTTTGAAGACTCCACAGGGTGAGATACAGACCTCATCCTCCTTGTGGGTCTGAGAGAAGGGCCAAGGGAAAACCACTGTCTTCCTGTCTACAGAATAATGTAGGCTTGGCCCTGGAGGTTGAGTCTGTAGCTCTGCCACCCTGGAAACCACACAGGTGTTAATCAGTGGCGAAAGCCCTGAGTTGTGCCTCCCTGGACCCAGGACATCTGTGATGCCACTGAAGCTCTGGGGTTCCCTGAGCACCAGCTCTTAGCTGGGCTTATTCCTAGTGGGGACTCCTGTAGCAACACCTAAGATAGTGACAAGGAATTCTGGGTCCTGGTAGGGACTGGGGCAGCTTGCACACCTGCCTGCATGAGGAGCATTCTCTCAGGCTTGAGTGGCTTCCTGGGGGTTGAAGGGGATGGACACTGGCCCATCTTGCTGTCGTCACAGAAGCTCCTCCATGAGGCATGGCCTGGGATCTGACAGTCGTGTTCCTCAGAGTCACAAGAACATGGCTTTGTCTGCAGCAGGGTCATGGCCGAGCTGGTATGCCCAGACAGGTCTGACTGCAGAGTTAAGGCTACTGTTGCATTAGGGTGTTGAGTGAAAAAGCCAAGAAGACAGGGAGGCTTTCCTCTCCCTCTCAGTAGGTAGGGACAGGAGGTATAAGGACCACACTGTAGTACAGCCAGAAGGAATTCTAGACAGATGGTTGCAGGGACAGAGTCGTGGGCTTCTCCATGACTCTCTGGGATATCTCAGGATGTCTGCAGAAGTCAGTTGAACAGCATCCCCCTGCATCTCCTACCAGACAAAGCAGGCACGCTTTCCATTTTTCTGACTGGTCCCCACACTTCTGCTATCAAAGACTCGGATAACTGTTGTCAAAGATAGGTTCCTTGGAATTTAATTAAGCTAGTGGGTATTGGTAAGTCACAGAGGCTGAGCTTGTGTGTCATAGGTGTTAGGGGATTCAGATTTCAGCAGAGAATCAACACTTCTGAGCCATCTGGTGTGTATGCTTCAAGCTTGAGGCTTCACATCTTCTGAAACGACCTCCTGTCTGGAAAGCCCGTAGCACTGTCCTCGCTTCTGTCTTTGGATCTGGCTTCCATACACTGTCAGGATCCTGCATCATAGTTCCCTCAATGGACTGGATCTGAACTCCAGTCTTTTCTGCTTGCTTACAGAAAATCATGGTGCCACCCAATTGGTCCAATAACTACACAGCAAGAGGCTTCATCCGGCCTGATGCCACTACGTCGCGTATCTCAGCTCATCACAAGCTCCTCCACAGATTCAATAGCCTGTCCTTTTTTTTCACTCTGTAAATCTGATGGCTAAGATTCTCCCCACCCCAAGTTTGGGAGAGTGTAGCCACACGGGCAGATACCTTTTGGAGGTGACCCACTGTACCTGCCCTAGATTGACAGGAGCACACCAAAGTTACTTCTTGAGGAATTTCCTCTGGAAGACAACTTCTAGCATCTAGCTCTCAGTAAAATTAGGGTGCACCACCCCTCTTCTACCCCCTGTGCTCTGGGGAGGCTCCAACACCTGAGGAGATGACTCTGCTCTCTACCCATGATCCTGGGCAGTGAAGGCTCTGTGGTAAAAGGGTTCCCCAGCCTCAGACCTCAGAACTCGGAGCCTCTGGCTACTGCTCTACCAGCCCGAGTTTCTTTTTAGGATGCCCCTATAAATTACAACAGACACCTTGGGTCTGCCCTCTCAATCTTCACTCTCCCCTGGTCTGAGGCTCGGCCATGCTCTGGGACTTATTCAGGGTCACACCTATGTGTGAAGGGACCTTCAGCTCTCCTCAGAAATCTACACTCTACAGGGTCCCCACATTGGCAATTCTAACTCTCCTTTGCTGGCTGCCAGCTGCAAGTCCAGCTGTGCATGGAGTCAGAGGTTTTGTTGGTTGCTCTGGCAGACAGACTCCAGAAGAACACACCCAGTCCATGGAGATTTATGTACACAGGGCAGAGGAAATGTCTGTATCCATCTAGGCACACAGAGTGCCCACGGGGAGGCACACAGCATGGGGACAGGGTTTGTGCCTGTCCCCCAAGGCAGCAGCTCTCCTGCCCTGGGTTTCTGCTAATTGCACTTAATTTCCTGCCATCCAGATCCATCTTAGCCTTTGGCTCTTGAAGATGTCACAGTGGGGACACTGGGGAGGCTTGCCATTGTCCTGCAGAGTTCCACAGTAGAGGCTGGCCAGGTCCCCAGGCCTCCCCTTTAAGTGACTGTCAAGTGTGCATAAGTTCTGTGTTCCGGACTTTGAATAGCTTGTTGCACTGTTGAATTTTGGTTTGAGTGAGGATGGGGTGCCACAGGGACTCAGGTGATTCCAAAAGCTCTTTGTCTAGCCTATAAGATTAAGAAATAATTTGAAGTGAAACAAAAATCAAGGGTGAAGAAAATTTTGGGGGGAGGCTGGCATATCTACAAGCTCCCGCCATCCTGACTTCTCTTGATAGCTGCCCAGAGAACTTCCTCCACAACCCAGACAAAGGGAGCAAGATTTAGATAGCTCCAACCCCAGGGCTCCAACAACAGGGTGTGGTGTGATCTGTCTCCCAGACCTCAGGGCAGTCCGTCCCTTCTTCTCTCTACTTACAAAAACCAGCCATGTGCCTGGCCACATCCCAGACGCTGGGGGATAAAAGGTACCCAACTTAAGCCCTTGTGGACAAGTGTAAGAGCCAAGGACACTGGGTGGACCATCTAGGGATCTATGGGCCTCAGGAGTCCTCAGCCAAGGTTGGATTCAGGGTCAAGACTCCAAAATTCAGAGGTCCTGGCAGATAGCAGCCCTAGGATGGACACTCAGCACTGGAAGAGTGTGGAAAGGCTGAGGTCCCAAAACAGAAACTCAGGCTAAGAGCTAGATGCTTGGGCACAAGGGGCCCACAGCCAGGAAGGACAAGATTCTGGGATGCATTCATTCTGTGGGTCTCTGAATATGGTTGGGCATCATAACTGGGCATTCAGGTTGAGATACAGAGGTAAGGAGCTGGGTACCACTGGTTCCTGGACCCTGTACAGTCACATCAGGGATCTGACCTCATGAGCTACTTGCCTGTCAGCCTGCCGCTCCTTGACCCTAGAAGGTGCCTTGCTTTGGCTCTGACAGGAGATGTGCACATGGCAACAGAGCAGGAGCTAAGCCAGGCTGGAGAAAGCTTTGCAAATGGGACGTAAACCCGGTGGATGAAATGCCACAGGGCTTCTCTTTCTCAGTAATGCCGGCACGTGCCTCTACAGCAGGACCCCCAGGGACAAGGCCCACACAGCCCCCAGGAAGCTGAAGTGGGAGAATCCAGTATCCTTCTGGGCACCACATCCCCCACGGAGCATCACAGCCAGAGTGGAGTCAACCTCCCCTCTCAATCACCTTTGCATCTGCCAATGGAAAGGAAAGGATACACACCCGAGTTCTCGGCGCATGGGAGTCGTCAAGGCCACAGAATGAATGCTAGTGAGAAAAACAAAAAAAGGAACAAAAACTATAACATAAGACCAAAAGAAAACGAGGAAAATAAAAGAAAAGGAAAAAAAAGAAAAGAAAAGAAAAAAAAAAAAAAGATGTGAGAGATGTGGTATGGAATTCAGTGACAGTATCTTACAAGAACTATGACGCTAGGGGGCAGCAGAGAAAGGGGTGGAGGGCAGCCGTGGGCGGGTACTGGTTGCTCCTGCCTTAAATGCTCACTGGGTTATCTGTACACATCTATCAGGTGTCCCACCAACCCAGGCAGCCAGGTGAGATCTAAGCTGTGTGCAGAGACTTTGAGGGATAAAGGTAAGGCTTCACAGGGCGACACAAGGGAAGGGCCTGTCCAAGCTCGTGGCTGTGCTTCACCAGTATATATTAAGGTAGGCAACAAAAAGGGAGGCAGCCAGGCCAACCTGCGGACAGGTGATCCTTCCCTGCGCTGTCCCTTGTAAGAGACTTTTTAATATTTAAAACATTGTGTGCCTTTTACCAGTCAACTTTAGAAAAACACTGCTGGGAAAATAATAGAAAGAAAGAAAGAAAGAAAGAAAGAAAGAAAGAAAGAAAGAAAGAAAGAAAGGAAGGAAGGAAGGAAGGAAGGAAGGAAGGAAGGAAGGAAGGAAG